TATTTTGTGATATTGATAATATTTTTATATAAACAACTAAAATTAATTACGGAGTTATTATTTATTTATAGTATTGTGATATAAATATAAATTATCATAATCACTATAATGCTGCCCTCTGTATATGAGTCTAATTTGAGTAATATGAGATTCTATGAGTTTATAATTTCTATATTTTCTGCAAAATAAAAACTATGTTTGCATTTTTATGATATTTTTATATATTTTAATAGTTAATAATTTCAATTATTTACGTACAACAATTGAATTAGTAATTTAATTATTTCATATTCTCAAACATAGTTTCAACAATTCATTAATGACAATTAAATTATTTTTCATATTTCTAAAGATTATTCAACAATTATTTAGCTTGTCTATAACAATTAAACTTAATTCAAAATTTAATTTCTTCTACATTCCTCCGTGCTTATATTATTTTATTTGGTATAGTCACAGACGAGATAAATGAATAGATCTCGCATACAATGTATTTTTGTGGTCCACAATTGGAGGGTCTTAAAGATCCCTTTACCATTTTCGTATCACATCCTATTACACTAATTCTGGCAAGTTACACACTGCAGCACTACTAATAATGAAACTTATAATTAATACCACAAACGCAATGAAACATATTTGAACTCATTTAGACATAAAATAGCAATCAAGTGAATCAACATAAATGATTCTATAAAAAAAATTAGTTTCTCATCTTCTATAATTACAATCATTTCTCTCGTAATCACCAAGCAAAACAAATTGTAAAATTTGATATATTATTATTTTTATATTTTATATAAAATTAAATATATTCTTACCAAATTCAACTGTCATAACTTAATAATTTCCTTGTCTATTCCTTCTCGCGCAAATATAACTGTCCTTGTCGTATACTATCGCTCTTCTTGTCTACTGCGCGTGTATGTCTGTCTTTGTCGCTAATGACACTAGACAAGGAGAGCAACAATGTGCGAGGACAACCTTCGATCTATAGAAAAAAAATGCCACTTTTTATATACACGTATAGAAAAGTAGTAAATTCCTTTTTTAGTACCACCGAATTATCAATAGATGGCGCCACCGTCACCTTTAATGAAGGGATTGAAAGTGTCGATGATAATGCGAGAATGATGTAGGAAGTGATGATGTGGGTAAGATGAGGAAAGGTTGTGGCATTTCATCTCAGAGTCGCTGCCTAGATCCAATGGGGTTGATGGCAGCGATTCCTTAACCCAGAGACGCTTGGTTGTTGTAACTACTCGCTAGGCTGGATTTTGATCACCCATCCTAGCGGTTCCGCACTCTGTTTGCTTAGCATCGAATATCGATTGACTTCGACGCTAGGCGCACAGCCACTTGCGGCTTGTGCAAGTTGGTGTTCGAAACTCATACTGGAGGAACTATAGGTCGCTACATTATCATTGACAGGTGACAGATTTTCCACAAATTACGTGAAGAAATTAATTACGAGGAATCATTTGTGAACTGTTATGGTTGCGTCTTCGATTTTAGAGACCCTAAGCTTGCGTTTTATGTTTTGTTTATGTATAGTTTACGTATATAAAGAATGTTTCAATTTCGTTTACGTAGTAGTGCCAGTAGTGAGTGCATAATTTTGCACAAACTATAGTGAATATTAGATTCAGATTTGTTTGCGAACGTAACTGATAGCATTATCTTTAAAATATGTGCTCGGAAGTGTAAATTAGTAGCGTGAAAAATTAAAATTAATTACCCTTACATGGTTATAGAAAGTTTAGTTCCACCGGCGCTAGTGTTTCTTACCCCGTAAAACAGTGAAATTTTCATTTGCGAAAAAATCTAATTTAGCGAAATGAATTGTAAACTTTGGCGATTGTATTATCCTAATTAGACCCTTAGCTTTCTTTTCCCCATTTGACCCGTAAAATGCAGAAATAAGTATTTTTAAAAATAATTAGTACCACTGAGTTATCGCTAGATGGCGCCACCATGTCCATTTTGTGACAGTTCGCACTAATTACGAAAAAAACCTAATTAAGAGGAATAATTTGCGAACTTTTTTATATGCCTCCTTAAAATTAGGCTCCTCGCGTTCTTTCTATGTATGTTTGTCTTGGAAAAAACTGTGTGTAAAAAGTTGAATTTTTTTTTCAATAGATCGAAGGATGTCCTTCTCGCACACTGTTGCTCTCCTTGTCTAGCGTCATTGGACAAGGAGGGTGATAACGTGGGACAAGGACAGACATATCTATGTGGTAGACAAGGAAAGTGACAGCATACAACAAGGACAGACATATACGCGCAGTAGAAAAAGAAAGCGGTAGTGTGCGACAAGGATAGACATATTTGCGTGGTAGACAGAGGGCAACAGCGTGCAATAAGGACAACAATATAAATTAATTCCGACACCTATCCTAGGAGTGATGCACACAGTGCATGCTTAATTCATGGATGCTTTACATGTGCATAAAAATTAATTAGACGTAATTACTATCGTAAAATATAATAAAAGAATAATAAAGATACGGTTAATGATAATTTTTATTATTAGTATAAATGGTATAAAGTCGAATACAATTAACAAAATGATAGTCCGGATGACGGAGCTGATACATTTTGCACTAAACGTAGTTTCATTTCTGTTCATGTCTTATTAATTAATAGAAAACTTAGTATACATATCAGAAAATATTTTCTTGTTAAAAAAATGAATTTGAACATTATATTCGGCGGGCATCACACTCCTATTGCATCCGGGTTTGTACTTAAAAATAAATACTATTATCTACTAAGAAAAAAGATCTCTTTCTTTTATATTTAAAAAGGCACGATAACGACTAGGTAGAAACAAATGGTATGCCAAAAATAGTTTCGATCTCGCTGAAAAAATTACTCGTGCTCCTTATTCAATAAAGTAGTAACTCTGATGTAACGGACAAATAAGTTTTGTACGAAGTGCAAATATATAAATGCAATAATATTTGTTTCAATCCTCGTGAAACTCTTCCTTAAATTTGATTTAAATATTATATTACAGAATATTTTCTCATATGTTGTACATATCTCTATAAATATAAAGTACTAACATGGTGTTGCGAATTCTGTTTTTAATCTCTTCTTTATTGTTTTTTTAAGCAAAATATATCATTCTGACGTGCTTTTTCTGTATCTTTTTTTTTTAAAGCATTTTTAAAAACGTGCTGTTAGAACTCTTAAGATTATTTCATGGACTTATTTTCACATAAGGCGACAAAATTCCTCTCCTTGGGGATCGCCCTGAAACAAAGAAAAAAGATTATATTATATAGAAAAAAAATTAAAGATAAGATTATATTTATATAGAAAAAAAATTAAATGAATTGAGAAGTTGAATCACTTAATAAACCCAACTGACATGATGTGTATATTATTCGACAATTAGTAATTACAGAATCTAAAATCAATATTAATGAGATGATGAATATTGTGCGTTCATGCCTGCATGCATGTAAAGATACACATACACGCATATTCTCAACATACACACGCACGTACATGATATTTACTGGCATTGATAACTATTTTACTACTGATTCGGAAATTTTGTGTATTTTAATGAAATCTTTTTATTCTGTAAATTCAATTTCACGAATGAAATATGCTTCGGAAAGAATGAAATCGTCAATGGATATTTCCATCGATTTATTTCATTTAGCTCACACCAAGCCTTTTTGGAAAAATGTTTTAAAAAAAAATATTTATGCATGCATCGAACCGGCAAAATTTTATAATAAGCTTATGAACACAAATGAAAAATCGTTTCTCCCTTTTTTGGCTTCCACATATATAAAAACAATATTGACACTTAGCAAAATTTTAATCATTTCAATAAATTAATATAGCAGCAATAAAGTGATGAACTGTATGTTAATAAGTTTTTAGCATTTTAACGTTTTTTTTTTTTTAGTATAAATAGATTAAAATACCAATAGTATTGCGTTAGTAATATATATACCAATAGAAAATGTTGAACAATAACTATATACTTATATGAGAAAAAATATTTGGAATTGTTTAAATGCGTATCTTAAAGACAATGTGGTTAACAAATGAGATGTTTATATTTTAACAAAAGATTATATTACTCTTAACACTTATGAAGTTTTAGTTAAGCGTGAGCATGAAAATAAAATGCTGTGAAGAAAAAAACAAAGCAAATAATTCCTTTTATTTGAAGCGCGAATGACATTGATCACCGGCGACTATTTTAACGTTCGATAAGTTGAAAACTTACATAAACTGACCCATCAGAACCATTCGGTCGCCCACTTAATATGGGTATCTTCTCTATGGAATAAGAAGATTCGTTGATGACACATATCCCGATTTTATTTTACGTTTCTAATATTAAGTCTAACAGTAAAATCAATTTAACGAAAACGTGTATATCTTAAAGAAACTTTGTACAATATTTTAACAATAAATGTCAAAGAAATTAAAATATTCTATAGCCACATTGTCTTCGTTAAATACAATTACAAATACAAGTACACAATTACCAAAAAGAAAAAACAAATAATTTTACAAAAATTATAAAATCGTTAATTATTTCGTAATTGGTTTTCAAATTTTCAATTCAACATGGATACTTGTACAATAACAGTTAATGCAGTTAATTTTTAAAGATCGTATTTAGTTCGATATTTCTCACTTATATTTTTGATGTTCTTATTAACATAAGCGATAAAAAAGATATTTGAATATTTAAAAAAACAAATAACACTAATACTTATTGCTAGAAAAAAATAAATAAATTTTTCCTTTAGCTGTGAATAAAAAAGAAAAAATAAGCCGAATTAATGTCGACTATCATGGCATTTATAATCTCTATTTTTGTATCGTATTTAGATATCCGTAACATACCTGTTGATGGTGAAGTTCTTCAGAAGGTCGAAAACCCAAGTTTTCTCTATGTCGAGACAAAGACGTAGACAATTGTTGTCTTTTACATTCTGAAGTGGCCATTTCCTATTTAAACACGAAAACATTGAAAATACAATTTATATTCATAAAATGGTACAGCAATAATAGAATCTAAAAAACACTCACTTCGCCTTCGTTATTAAGAAGCATAGTTGTCATGGTATCCGCTGTAAACCATTTTTGACCCTTCATGACAATATTTGATGGTGGTTCATGTGTGGCACCAATATCAGCGGACCATACCATTACAGTGGCACCACTTTCTAATTTTGCGGTACGATGGAACTTAAATACTGTTTCCAAAGAACCAGCTTTGCGAATAATTTGCCAACCACTAAGTCCTATTTCCTATATAGCATAAAAATAAATTGAAAACATTAAATATTAGCGTGAAAAAATTATTACGCACACTGGAATAATTTACCCAGTACTGGACATCTTACTTTATTGCCTTTGTTGGTAAGTTTAACAAATCGTCCTTGAGGATCAGCTTCTGTAATTTCTATGTCCCCTCTAGATGTTCCAGATACACTATAGTCAGTACTACTACGTTCTTCACTTTCCTCCAATAAAGTGCGTTTTCGTTTCCCACCTCTTAAAGGAGTATGTCTTGAAGGAGTAGTTCTACCACTAGATGCTGTTGAGCTCGGTTGTACAGGCATGATATTCAATCTATGGACGAGTAAATTTTCATGTAATCATGTAAAATATTAACAATTCTACTTTATTAAATATTAAAATTTTACTTTATTTATTCTAAAAGTTTATAGAACATTAATTCTTATTACCTAGCTTCTTCAGATTCCAATAATTTTCGATATGCTGCAATTTCCAAATCGAGAGCAACTTTGATATCCATAAGATCTTGATATTCTTGTAATTGTTGAGCCATTTCATCGCGTATACGTCCTAATTCAGCTTCTAAAGATGCTAAACTCTCTGCGTGGCGAGTTTTTTCATTTTCACGCAGATTTTCTAAATCTCTATAATAAAATTTAACTTTAGCAATGATTTAAAATACTTAGAACTATAAATACTTCCAAAAAAATACTCAATACATTTAATTACCTTATTCGTGCATTAAGGGCGTTATTTGATGCTTCTAATTCATTAATTTTTTGATTAAGTGTATCAATTCTTGTTCTTGTTTGCCTTAATTCTTCAACAGCTAAACTTGCTGCTCCGCTATTACGCTGAGCATGAGCTGTCAAATTTTTGATCTTATTTTCATATAACAATTCAATTTCTTCTCTATTAGCTCGCATTTGTGCTTCATACTGGTCTCGTAAATCTTGCAAAGAATGTTGTAGTTTAGCTTCATATTCCTCAGCAAGGCGGCCATCTATCTCAGAAATTTCAATCTAAAATGAAAATAATATGCAATTATACTAAGTATGTTTATATCTATTATTAGTTTTTAAATTAATAGCAAGTACTACTAAAAACAAACCTGTCTCTTTGTACGTGTTTCCGTTAACTCCTGTTGGTACATTTGATCTTTGAAACTAATATCTTCCTTTAAACTTTGAATATTATTTTCAAGAACAATGCGTTGCAATGTCTCTTCACCCAAGTGTTTACGAGCATCTTCTAACAACGCCTTCAATTTCTCTACTTCTTGTTCCAGTTCTTTTTCTCTTTCAGCCAGCTTTTTACGTTCTGCTTGAGACTGATTAAATTGTGATTGCAAATCATTGTAACGTGTCTCATATAACAACAAGTTTCTCTCTGCTACTTGTAAATCCACTAATTTTTTATCCAATCTGAAAAAATCACAAGGAGATATTCATAAATTCGAATTACAATATTAATTATAAATAAAAAATAATATTAATATTTAATATTGATGTAATATAATGTCCCAAAATATTATATGTATTTAACAAAATGTTGTAAGTATTTATAAATATCTAAAACTTTGATAAATTAACACATCAACAGTAATCTTGTACATTCTCATTTGTGTATTAAAAATGTCGAGTTTGATAGTGTCGAATAAAAATCTTTTTCTACGTTTCTTAAAATGTATACAAAATAAGTTTCATAAAAAAATTTTAATCAAGACATTCCGGCAGTCGGGAAGAGGTGAGCTTTCATGTTTCTATTTCAGGCAACCGACCCACATAGAGAAATTTTATTTTATACCACGATGTCTCAAAATCTCTCAATATTTTGTTACCTTAAAGCGTACAATGTATTAGATTCGTAATGTATCAATATTTTTATTACTACAAAAAAAGTAATAAATAAATACAACATTTCAATATGATACGTGAAAAAATATTAAATAAAAAAATTAATTCAAATATTTAACTTAAAAATACAAAAATATTAACAAACTATATCATATTAAAAACAATTCTATAAAATGAGGTAAAATTTATAGACCACGCATAAATTTTATGGAATTATTTCACAAGAAATGTCAAGTTTGTATCTTCATACAAAAACAAGCATTTATAATTCCATCAATGCCGCTTCTTCATCAAGGATTCTTTTTTTATACATATAACTGCTACAGAATCAATGTTGAATGCATATATACACTTTGCATACACTTTTATCTCACTGATAACTGTAGTAGATCTTACGATCTCTCTATGTAATTACTACGAAAAAATTTCGATAAAAAAAGGAGAAATCGAAAAAATCAAAAATATTACATTTTGAGCGTTTCAATGACAAGCTTGCATTCTACAGCGAAACAAAAAACTAATTTCAAGTTAGAAGCTAGCTAAAAGCGGCATCGTTCAAAAACATAACTGGATTGTTAAACAAAACAGAATCGAACATACTGATCTTCAAAATGTATGTCAGTTACAAAGACAGAAATTGAGGTGATTAAAACATAGATGTTCCACTAAATGTTTCAATATATTGCTCGTGTTTATTCGCAAAAATGTAAATGTTAAAAGTCTTCAGTATTTCGTAATATTAAACACACGATACACGTAGAATGAATCCAGCGGTATTTCGACATTAACATATATCTCATTTCTGCTCTTTGCTCATATCTCTTAGCTTGCCTGTGTTGAACGAGGTAACATTTCCCGCTTATTTCTCGTTTTATCCATATTTTTATCGATTGCTTAAACGCGCACTCGAAAGGAGGTCAATGTTTTCAGTCGAGGTTATACATGCCATGGTTGAAAATGACATCACCGCCGCATAGTAAACGTGATACAATCGCTCGTAACGTCACGTTTCAAGTTAGGCACACCCAAATATTCGGAAAATTTTATAACGAATTTTATCAATGGAACTCCAAACTTTCATTCAGTCGTCTTAAAAACGATATAGAAGAATACTATAGATAATTACTATAGTAAGTATCTAGTACAGATAAGTAAAACTTCATTATGTTTTTTTCTTTTTCTTTTTTTTTAAATTAAGATCAAAGAAAAGAGAAGAAAAGAAGAAAAGCAATTAAACTACTTATATTATATAAATATATACAATTTAAGGATCGCTAAATTAATGTAGGAACAAATATGAAGCATTTGCATGTCATTACATGTACCATTCATTTTATTCATATACAACCACTCATTAATAAACACAAGCAAGTGTGCAAGTGTAAGTGTAAATTCTACGCACAAATAAGTATAAAAATACATACACAGTTATAAAATCATTACTTCCTGATATCAGGATATTGCATTTAGTTAAGAAAAAAAAGGATATTGCTCTGTTCAATTTCATGTACAGTTCACGAACATTTTTACTTCAGGTTGGCGAAAAATGTTTCTTCTATCTCAAATATCAACACTAATTTTGTCATTCTTTTTTTTCATTCTATTATTATCATATTTGCGATACGATCTAACTACAAAGTACAAATCGAAATTTATAAATAACATTCAAATTAAATAAAAAAAAAAAATAGATAAAATAAATCATGTACAAACAATCTCGACAGAGAGTTTCATTTATCTTCGCAAATTTCTAAAAAATACTCGTCACGAAAACAGCAATAAACGCGTCGTAAATGAATACGATATACATAGCATCTTAATTATAACTTTTAAACGCAAATTATATACAATGCATGCGCAAAATGTAGACCAGCATAAATATAAAAGATACAAAATCAAATCAATCAGTCTCAAGATCAAAATCAAAAGCTCGAAACACGCTAATTGCAATAAACCGTGAATTCCGGCAATCGTCCCGGCCTTGTCCTTTCGAAAATCGGGCTTGCACGGATTCGTATTCCCAAATACGTACGTCATACACCACTCGAAATGGAAATCATCGGAAAAGCGACTTACTTGGATTTCAGTTCCTCATTGTTATCCCACAATCGTTTCGTATCAATTTCCAGTTTCGCTCGTTCCCTCGCAGTGTCGTCCAGTAATTTCCTCGCGTCAGACAGTTCATGCTCATACATAGACTTTATGTTGGATACTTCGCGGGTGATAGTCTCCTGGGTCGTCTGTACCTCCCGCGTGAGCCTCGAGTTCTCGGCCTCCAAGTGCCGAACTTTGTCGATGTAACAAGCCAGCCGGTCATTGAGATTCTGCAAGTCCTGCTTTTCCTGCAGCCGCGAATAACGAGTTGGGCTCAATGGACTTCCTGGTCGCTGGCCGATCGGCGTTGACGTACTAAATTGCGGCGACTGCACGCTGCCGCTCGAACTCGCCGCCGTGCTCGCCGTCTTCTTCGCTGCCTTCGTTGACATGTTCCTTTTTCTTCCTCTTTTTCCTTTTTTCTTTCTTTTCCTTCACAACTCTTCTATTGCACTATCTCACACACTAGTCGCTCGCACTATCGAATCATCAATTTGATGCACAATAACACCCGTGTCTGTGAGAGACGCTTAACACTATCGAAGCCCAGGATCCTCCTATCTCAGTCAACGGAAGAACTGTTTAGCGGTGACGCCAACGTTAACGAAGCAACCTCCTTACGTGCATCTTTATAATGCGTTGGTAAACGCAACAAGACAATGCGATTGGCCGCGTCCGTGTGCACGAGGCTCCCGTTGACCAATCGCATGCCACTTCTTTGGAAGGATGCGCCAATGGCGAAACGCTTAGCTACACTAGGAAAACGCGTCAATCTTGAATTTCTAACAGAAAGTCCCGGTGAAAAAGAAAGAAAATATAACGAAACTTGCTGCTATTGCGATAGAAATTTTTACCAACTGTAAATTTAACTTTTTATTCGAATACATTTAAAATACATTTTTTTTTAAAAATACAAATTCTCGGAGATCCCGTCGGAACTTTAAACCATAAAATCATCTTTATTGTTTCGTAATGGAGACTTTCTTGTCTCTGATTCAATATTTTAAGGATTCTATATTGAATATTTTATTCTTGATTTAATTACATGATAATACAAACATTATTTATGTAATTTGTTTATGTATGTTATTTTAAAATTCAAAAAGGTGTTGTATGCACTTCTGCATACTTTTGAATGCTTTAATGCAATAATAACAATCTGTCATTTATCCAGTTCAACGTTGAAGGTAATCAAAAAAGTATTAACGAGGTTCCACATAATTGGCTTCTGATAACAAAATCCAATGACGACTCGAAAAAATATGAACACTAAAAAATGATAATACATGTACGAGAGTGTAACAACATAATTTTGCAATGTTCCTTTTTTTCTGTAATTCTCATAGTCTAGTCATTAAAATTTCCATGCTGAGATAATTTTGCAAGTTCTTGGTAACATTTACATGTATTTTTATTTTCATTTCTAGAGTTGTTTTGAAACACGTTGTAAATAAATTCCAGTTAGTGTTCGAATATCCGGTAGAGGGCAGCGGAGTAAAATTTTAAAATGCCTGTGAGTGGTGAATAACCGAAGAGGTGGACGTTGACATTTTTAAACGTGAGCATTGCGATTATTGTGACATAAACATTTTATATTGACATAAATGATTTATGAAACACTGATAATTGAAATAAAATTTAACGTATAGCAAAGAATTATGTACTTACTTGGAAACGATTTGTATATCTATAGATTGTAACAACTGTGTTTACAAGTATTAACACGGATTAATACCATGAAGAAATAACATTCTTGTTTAAGAAATAACATTCAGTCAGCATAAAGAAATCGTCACCTGGAAACGAAAACTGTAACGTCGTAAATAGAAAGAACGTGAATATGTGTGATCTTATAGATTTAGATAGTCCTGACAAAGATTCGTTAAGTTCGAGGCTCGCATCGCCTTTAATACCAATACCTACAGATGTTACGTCTAACAACAATAATACTCGAATCAATACGAACGAGCCAAGTTCTCTAATAATAGGAAAACGTGATAGTTTAGAAAATAATCCTTTTGATATGGTGTTGCATAAAACTACGGAATACATTCAAAAAAAGGACGACCCTTTTGAAATAACACTGGAGAAAGCATTGACAGTGAAGTGCAAAAAAAATGCTTCCTCGAGATCAGGTTCCCTTGATTTATCAAATAATCAGGTTCTTAAGGGAAAAGAGACTAGGCAGAAACTGAAAATAAACAAAACGTTGGATGAGATTTTAATTAATGACGAATTAAATTTAAGAAATACAACCAACAATGAAAAGTCTACTAAAAATGCAATTGATAATTCAAATAATACTAATACATCGAACAACCTACCCATCATCGATGTTCAAGATCTTGATTTATCAATATTAAATCAATCTGTGATGAACGATACATTATTCGAGGACAGCAATAAACAAAATAAAAATGAAATACAATCTACTTTGCACAATAAAATGTTAGTTCCTAATGTGACCTTACAAGTTCCAAAAGTTAAACGTTCTTTTTCACAAGGTGAAGTACAGCCTGATATGAGAAAATTGGAGCATCTATATCAAAGATCATTGGCTAAATCTTTGAGAACTGTTTCTAACAGTGGAATTAGTATATCTTCTTTAAGTTCACCTGATATGCTGAACGAAGGGTTTTTTAAAAGCGATATTGGAAGTTCTGTATTCTCAAGTTTGTCAAATATTTCTTCTATATCAAAAGTGAGTCCTGTTTCTTCAATAATTAGTCCATCATTAATGCTATCAAATGGAACTATGAATCGGACATTCTTAGAAAGCTGTTCCTTTGAGAAATCAGAGAATACAAAATTAACCGAATCTAAAGATCGCAATAAAGAAACAGATTCTGTAGCAACAAAAAATTTGGAAATATTAAAAAAGACTTCACTGTCTGATTTAACAGATCGATTTAATAAACTTAAAGCAAGAGTATCAGGGGTACACATTTCTGAAAGTTGTACAAATAATAAAGATGAACTTACATGTAGCTCTTCCAGTGATATAAAACAATCTATAACTGTAACAGAGAAAAATGAAACATGTAATGTTAATAATAAGTTAATTGATGTAGATGTATTTATGCCAGGCAATAATTCTAGCAAAGAACATTGCAAAAGTTCTTTTTCAGACACGTCATCAGATTCTGTATTTCTTGTAAGTTTTTTTTAAATCATTCCTTAAAGGACACTTTTTGATTTATTTTTGTTTTACAGGAAGGAAATAAGATTAATAAATCAATACTACAGGAAGCAAAATTTCTTGCAAGAACTTTTGAAGAAATGGCTATAAAAACCAGTTCTGACTGTAAGTTCATATTATATTCAACTTTCTTTCTTTTAAAATTTAACTCGTCTATAAAATCTTAATATGAAAAATACTTAATAAAAATTAATTATAAAATAAATAACTTGATATTCTATATTTTAATTGGTAATTTTCATTTCATTATCTAGCAAGCATTGAGGATCTCATTACAAATAATCTTTCATGGACATCAGAGTTATTACCAGCATTTGATGATGAAACTTCTGTAAATTTAATTGAATTACCAGTATCTCCTGAGAAAAATGATTCAAAGTTGAAAAATATAAAAATTACAAAAAATGAAAATAATGATTCATATGAAAATAAAATAGATGAATGTAGTAATAAAATAAAAGAAAATGTGAAAGATTTAGAAATGGAACTCGTCGAACCAATATCAGTAGAAAAACGTCCTACAGCTATAACACTTCTGTTAGATCTTAAAAAATTAATTGAAACAGAAAAGAATGTAGAAGCAAATAAACTATTGAAAAATTTGGAAAAAGTTTTAGGTATTAATTGTGAAAGCAATACCGAATTATTAACTACTTATTTTAATGCAACTAATAATTTATCAAAGAGTCCACAAAAATCAAATAATAGTTTAGAAGTGATCAAAAACGTGATAGAAGATAATACAGAATATAGTAAAGAAAATAATTTGACTAATGATTCAACGGAAAGTATCAAGGAATCAGTATTCTTCGAAAGCATAAATTTAAATGATGTAAATACGAATAAATGTATTGATAATCAAAAGTATTTAAATAGCGTAAATAATAAATTAAAATGTGAAACTTCAGGAGACCAAATGAATATTAGAAACATAAACAAAGAAAAAAATGAAAATGAATTTAATGATCAAAAGACATCTGAAGAAAAGGTGGTAATTGATTTACTTGCAAATATAGGAAAATTATTACAGACTAAAGAACATCCAACTTTGGATATACTTAAAAATTTAGGAGCAGTATTGAATGTTGCTTATAATTGTAATGTTGATGAAAACATAGAAACAAAATGTGAAGATGTAAAAATTCAACGAACTTCAAAAAAATCAAAATTGAAATCTGAAAAGGAAATAAAGTCATCATTTTTATCAAAATCAGCTAATAGATTAAGTTTAAATTTAGACTCAAAGGTAAGAATAATATTAAAAAAGAAATTTATAAAATTCAGATAAATTTATTATGATAGAATTAATAATGTCTATTTTAGAAACAAGCAATTGGTAAAAATTTTATTAGGAGAAGCATATCTGTATCTCAAGCACCGTCAACTAAATCAAGTTCATCTATCAACAAAGATATACCTCAATTGGAAAAACGATATTCTAGTGATCCTAATTTTATTAATCCATCATTAAATAAAAAAGTGATAAATAACAATAAAAATCAATTACGAAAAGGTAATAAATTGTTTTTATAATATTAATAAATTGTTTTTATAATATTAATAAATAATAATAATAATGAAGAATAATTGATATATATCTTTTTCAGATACAGAAACTAAAACGACTACAACTTTAGATTCGCAGAAAGAAAAAATTTCAATGATAAGTACAGTTAAAACTAAATTGAAAAAAAAAATTGACACTAATATCACAAATAAAAAAGGGCCAATGAAAGCTATTATTCCTATAAGAAATATGCAGAAAAGAGGTATAATTAATAAAAAAAAAATTATATTTACATTTATCCTTATTGCACTAACATTTTATTTACATTTTCTACAGATGCTGTTAACAAAAAAATAACTTCGTCTGTTGGAGGTATAATATCACCCGAGTCTCATGAAATAATTAGCAGTACACCTAATTCGATAACCAATGAATTCCCAGTTAAAAAATCAGGATCCTCAAAACCAGTAGCTTCGTCAACTCCAGATGCACCAAATTCTAAAACGCGAAAAATACAATCGCAACTAATTAACAGCCCGAAGAAACGAAACTTTTTTTGCGATATTTCGCCAGTAACTACACGCGTAAATGTTGATAATAACAATACAGTTGACGATAGTCCACGAAGGTAAGTTCAAATAACTCTCATCATGTTTAGAAAAATATAGAACCATATTTACAAAAGATAATTTATTTTTTAGGAGTAATAAATTACCATCGCCAAAGAAAACAACACCCAAACATCGACGTACAGAATCTGGTATTCCAAAAGCGCAAACACCTCCTATAAGCAAGCGATTACATTCCTCATTTGAAGTTAATCACTGTGAGCGTGTACACGAATCCCCACGACGTTCAGTATATAAAAAATCAAATTCGCAAAGATATTCGCCAGTTTCCTTAAAGAAAAATGAAAATATCCAACGAAGTCCATTAAGGGATAATAACAAACTTACCCATAAAGTAAAACCGATTAATCTGGTATGTCCGAAATTGTATCTTAATAACAAATCGTTATTTGAAAGTAATAATTAATTCATAACATTTTTTTAACAGATTTCAAAACTTCAGCGGCATAACAGTAATACAAATGCGATGGATAAAGAAAACAGTTGTGTTTAATTTATAAAATTCTTTTATAATTAATAACAGTTAAGCATGCGTAGAATTTGCTACAGCGTGTGTATATTTTTTTTACGTTTACATTTTTTCACATCTGTGTTTTACAATAAAATATTTGCAACATGTAGTAATTATTATTTTCCTTTGTTTCTTTCCCTATTTGCTACTTGTCATTTCAATATAAGAAGTTGTAATTCATATTTTGCTATATAAAAATATGAAAAAAAAGAATGTATCTAACATTACATCGTACTTTCTTTTGCATATTAAATATTTATATTTAGACTTTTCTCTTTTCCACCACAGACTATGAATTTAGAAACACCAGTCTTTTCTTTTATTTTTCTTACTATTCATCTTTCATCATGAGTTGGGTTTTTTATTTGGAACTTTATTTAATACTCTATTTTCTTCTTGATAGTTTAACAATATATTGGACAGTATCAATACTCTGTTTATAATTTCCGTGATTTCGCGAAATGAAAGCTTTTGCTTTTGAAAACTTTCAAAAGACATTTCTTGAGACAATTTCTTGCTTGTCTCCTTCATTTTTATTATTTGAAATTCTTCGATTTGGGGAATTCCCCGAAGGGGATACTGTTATCGTACAATTCTAGCTGCAAGTAGTTTCTCAGCCTGGGTTGCAGTAATTTTATTTTTTCTGTACCTAGGAATATTTATTTTATTTTTTTATATCACTATATAAAAAATACAGACACATTTACAATGTACGTTCATCATTTTTTTTCACGTCATCCCTATCATTCTTTGACAACGCAAAACGTTGAAATTTTCGTTCGCGATGCACGATGTTGGTCGTGACTCACTGTACCTTAAAATTCACTTGCGATCTGTTGCGTCAGATCCGTCGATCTGAAAACAGGCTCAAAAGGGAGCTACTCGGCCGGGAACGAGGACAGCAGCGCTCGGGAACGGCCGATACGTCACGGTCGTTTCTAAAATCACAGACGCAGTAACGTATCATGCGTCGTGGAAAAAAAATTCTATCCTAACACGTACTTTTCCCTGAATTTGAAATTTACCGAAGGTAAGTAGAGACAAGTAGACGCAAACAGAACAAATTACAATCGAATCTCGCGTAGATACGACATTGTAACGAGAACATTCAGTGAAATATCTTAAAAGAACGTCAAAATTGAATCTCGTCGAACCGTTCGTCATGTTTTCCGTTCGGATGTAAAAACCAAGTAAACAAATTTGAAATTGGACTACGATAGGTTAATTGCAATCGGGGACCCACGCCATCTAAACGGAAGTCCAACGTTGACCACTGATGCCGCATTTAACCTGTTAAGAATAAAATTTCTAAATTCTTTTCTCTCTTTTTTTTTTTTCTTTTCTACTTAAGATCTATCGGTATACTTGTTGGGAGAATGTGCTTCATTGATCAATCAGTCAATTAATCAATTGTTGGTTCGATGAAAAAGCGATCGATTTGAACACGGTCGACGACTACGTGACAATGACGAGCAAGAAAGGAACAAAAGAAGAAAAAGTGAGAACAAAGAACATTTAGGAAAAGCGAGAACAAAGAACATTTAGGGAAAGCGAGAACAAAGAACATTTAGGGAAAGCAAGAACAAAGAACATTTAGGGAAAGCGATGCGCAGAAGCCGGCTTCCGCAGGGTACTGACAAAGGCAACGCCGCACCTGTACGAACCCGTCCCCGCAAAAAGTGCGCTCCGCGTGTTCCGTACTCCAGCGGCGGTCCGTCCACACTCGCGTGCAGCCGCACCCGGCATCGCGCTCCTCGCTCCTCTCGCCGGAGTGATATCGTCGGGCAGCAGTAGCAATCAGCGTAGCGCAGCAGCCGCCGTGTTTCGGTGATCAAGCTTGACCGGCAATGCAAAACGATTGTCTCGACAGTGAATCGTCGGATGTGACAGTGGCAAAGCAAGGTGAAGTGCGTCACAGTTTCTCGGTGTTCGATCTTTTCGGGTGTTCGGTGGCGAGCGAACAAGCGGAGGTAGAGTAACGCGGCGCGCACAAGAGGCCGCCTCTGGGAAAAAGAGCGCGTCTCGCAACGTTGCGGCCCAAACGTAACTTTGTTCCGGGAAGAGAAACGCGATGATTTCGACGCGGAACTATCAGTCGACAAGACGACGTTGAGAGAACGACGATGAAAACGAAACTCCGCGGGCTCTCGGTGACGTGTGAGCGGAGTTTTTCTTTTTTCTTTTTCTTTTAACGAGCACGTTGATTCGCTTTCTCGTTCGAACGTACGCGTGCGATTCGCTGAATGATCTCTCGCCGGTGAAATCGGCAATCGGAGAGAAGTTAGCTGACGCGCGCCCCCCAGTGAAAGAACCCGCGTTCCGCAGGTTTCGCCCGTGTGCGCGATACGGACAATCATCCGAGCTTATCGATATTCTTAGAATCGTCGTCGTGTGTGTTGTCGTCGTCGCGCGACGACGATCGAGACGACGAGACGACACTTCGCAAAGAGGCGAAGATTCAACTCATGCGACTCGTGCACAGTGTCAACGCGCACGAGGATACAGTATCGCAACTGTTGGGAGGAAAGAGGGAAAACGCAACCGGCGACGATATATCCCGCGTGGTACGTACACGCACGTACGCGTAACACGTAACACATACAAGTGCGAATCAACTTTCGTGCACATGCATGTTCGCGCAAAGGACCGTGCAGACTTGTGAAGTCTCTCGGTGCGCCGTTTGATCGCGTGCGTCGAAGTGGCCTGTCGCGAAGCGCGCTTAAACGGAGCTAGAGATCCGAAACGACACTGCGAAAAAGTTGTCGGACACGGTGAGAAAGAGAGAAAGAGAGAGAGATACTAGTGATAGAAGAAAGAGGTATCCCGCTTTGTTAGACGATTGGCGCGTGGTAAAGACGTGGTGTTCGACGGTCACTTGGCACGTAGCACCAAGTGGCGCGATCATTCTTGCGACGAAAAGGGTTATTCACGCGTGAAAACGGATCGGTCGGTGGATTTTCACGAGCGAAACAAAAGAGAGAAGCAAGCGCAAGCAATTCTCGGGGGCCCAGTGCCGAGGAGGACCGCTTCTACTCTTTTCTTTGATAGACTTGATCGTTCGAAATTTCAAATTTGGGCGAGAAACGATCGAGAGTAAGAGGATCGGAAGAAAGTTACGTGTCGCACGGACACGGTAGGTACAACCGACGACGTCGCAAAGTCGCGTGCAAAGGGTGTGAAATGCGTCGCGCTGCAGTTCGATGTTCGATCCGACAGCGGCGGACGACCTGACTTCGCCGGATCGCCTCTCCGTCGTCGCGTTCACCTCCTCTCCTCTCTCGGCTTCAGTCCAACGATAGATCGGCGCAGCTGCGGTACGCGATTCGAAATTCTCTCCCGGTAGCGGACGAGAGCGAAACAAAAGTGTGATCACATCTCGGTAAGCTGCGTGTCCAATCGCAACCGCTCAGGGCTGATTGACAACGAAACGGACTCTGCGGCGGATGTGTTTCGCGCGGTTCCCGAATGCGCCATAGATTTCGCACGCTGTATTGACTTTGTCGATCCGTGCAATCGATAATATCCCATTTGACACGTTGCGTTGTTCTTCTCGTCCTGACTCATTGTGCAATTTAAAAAAAGAAAGAAAGAAAGGAAAGAGAGATCAGACAATCCGAGCGCACAGAGAAAAAACCTATTGGGACACGTTTTTATCATGCGGTGTGTCGCTCACCGACTTGTTTATACGTGCTGATGAAAAACGATCGCGCTCAACGCTCGAAGCGAGAATGATCGACGCTTTATCTGCCCATTGTTGTTTCCAACGGTGATCAAGAATCAACGTCGATGTTTATGCATTGATACATCGAGATACCGTGTAATAAGATATCTCGCGGATTGCGACTCTAAGAGGAAAGAAAGGCAGGCGGACGACGATATTCGATCGTGGAAGGCAGCTGGAGTGGTGAAGTAGTAGAAGCGGGGACGACGTGAACCACGCACGTATAGCGCGACGCACAAGAATTTTTGCCGGCCGTTATGACATTACGCGCGAATGCGTCAGGCACTGTAAAAACGTGCACAGACCGCCGCCAAACGAGCTCGCACCAGTCCCGCGTTCTTTCCCACTGTCCACGCACGAACAAAAACTGTCGGACACACTACCGTGGTAGAGAAAGTCTCATCGACGCGTAATAATGCAGCAGCACCGAGTCGAGACGCAGATACTCCACGAGGAGCAGATCCTGGAGGCGATAGATCAACTGCGTCGGCGAAAGGCGCGACCGGACGCCGACCGTATCTGCAATTACTTGCTGAGGAAGTTCTCGGTGGACGCACGGGACACCATAGCCGATCTTCATCGGTTGATCGAAACCGAAAAAGTGATTCAAGTAGATTATAAGGGGAACACCAGTTACCGAAATGCCTCGAAATGGTCACGACTGCAGCTGTACAAGAATCGGCCGGAGGGTTTTGTGAAGGAAAAGCTAAACTCCGGGATGGTGGCCGGCGCCGTTGCCGAGCTTGTCGTCGAGGAGCCGGATTACCTTGATCAGGGTGTACCAGCGTATAGGCTGATCGAGCAGTTGCTCGATGGTATGTCAAATCCTACCTCAAGACGCATGGTAGAAGATTTTCTCGGGAAAGAGGTGGCCAGTGGTAATTTGACGCGTCTCTCAAACGGTAATTACTCGCTGGTGGCGACGTCTGACATGACAACCACCGCCGAGCCGATACATCGTGAATCTTTTACCATCGAGAATGGGAACGCGCGGCGGAAGGAGCTGCAGACTGTTTCGTCGACCACCGGTGCGTTGTACGACTTCGATGAGACGGAGAACCTGACAATCACGGACTCGAGGTCAAACACGCCGAGATCGTCGCGTCAGGCAAGCCCCAAATCCGATCCGCAGATTAAAAAGGAAGAATGCTTCGAGATAATCGTCGGGAGAAACGAGAGCACCGAGTCACCGGTGGAACACGATCCCGTGAAGGAGCAGGAACCGCAGGAGCCATCGCAGACATCCGTCGAGGACGTGAAAGAAGAATCGAAAAATACGGATGGCCAGACTCATAACCTTAAAAGGTCGTCGAAAGCCGAGCGTAAACAACGCCTACTCGTTCGGACGGACGATCCTATGGACATAGAGATTAAATTCGAGGACTATCGGAATAAAGATAATAAAGAAGAAATAAGTTCGCAAAAGGATAAGAGAGAGGAGACCGGACATCTTAGCGAGGAACGAGAGGACGAGGATGCGGGAAGAAGTTCCACTAATCCTTCGCCTACACCATCCAACACTAACATTGGCGGTTTTCGCAGCGCTCGCAGAAAGGTATGTATTTTATTTCTTTTTTTCTTCTTTTTTTTTACGATTGTTAAGACGAGACTTTTGATCCTATGTGGGTATGCTTGAAAAATAATTACATTTTATAGAGAGCGAAAAAAGTGTTTGATCCTTCTGACAACAACCTTGTGAAAAGAAAACGTGGAAGGCAACCAGGCTCGCAAAATAAATCTTCTGTGTCTCAAGAATCTCAAGATTCTTCTAAACCGACTGTCAAAGACGGACCTTGCAGGCAATGTAGTCTCTGTGCCAAAGAAAAGCAAGAAAATCTAGTTGCTTGTCGTGACTGTACCGTACGAGGTATTGCCATATTTGTGATAAAATGTGATGAACGTTTTAGATCAAAGATGTAATAAATTTTCACTTATTTATAGCACATCCAAGTTGTATTTATAGCCCAGAAGAAATGATTCAAAAAGCTGGCAGCAATTGGCAATGCGAACGTTGCAAAAGTTGTACGATATGTTGCGAAACCTCAGATGCTGTAAGTGATTCGTGAAAGACATGATTTTTTTTTATCTTTTTCCTCATTGTTGTATGGTTTCATTTCAGGGACCACTTGCAACATGTTTTACTTGTGACGAAGCTTATCATTATTATTGCCACACACCACGTATAATAATTCCTAAATCAAATTCAAAGTGGCAGTGCAATGATTGTGTTCAAAAACAGTATAAAACAAACTTAAACCAAAATATTAATCTGGCTACCAGTAGGCCCGATACACCGTCAAATCCTCCTGTGTTACCCCCGGTTCTAAGTCCTCAAGTTTCTCCTACCAGAGGATCTTCTGATCAAATGGAAGATGATAGCCCAAGAGATGGAATTGATCCAAATATACCTGATGCTTCAGATTGGACATCTGAGCAAGTGTATCAATATTTCGCAAGACTCTTTCCAAAAGAAGCAGAAGTATTTAGACAACAGGTATTTTTTTTTTTTTTTTTTATTCCAAAAAATCTTTATATTATCTGATACCTCTTAACAAATATTTTATATTTTGATATATATTTCAGGATATTGACGGCCATTCTTTGTTATTGATGAAAAGATCTGATGTGTTAAGTGGACTTGATTTACTTCTAGGGCCTGCATTAAAAATATATAGACATGTCCTAAAATTACAAGTACGAAGAGATGACCCGAAACTTTATTGGCTGTAAATGCCTTAAATACTTAAGTTTAGTATAATATTTAAATAATAATTACACTGTACAGTTTGATTTCTTTTATATTTAAGAATTGAATATTTTTTTAATTCAGGATACTTTTTTATATTGTACATATTGCAGTTATCTTGAATTAAAAAAATATTTCTTTATCGTAAAAAATTTGAAAATGCCGAAAAATAACGTACAGAATAATAAGAAAAATTAAAAGCTGTTGTTTTCTTTGTACAAATACTTTTGAATTAAATAGTTTGAATGACTTAATATTAATGTAAATTTTCTTTATTACAGTAAAATGAACTTCTTTCAATATTCTATAATTGTAATCAATATTTTTAAAAGGTGCTAATCTTATTATTTGTTACGTGTTAAAGTTAAATTTGTGTCTCATGATAAAAATACTAAAAATTGTTCAGTTTGAATAAAATAGTTCAAGCATGAAGTATAATAACAAGTACTATTTGCATACCTTCACATCACTTCTTCTTTATTTTTTACAATGTATAGTTAGATAATAAATATTCCTAATACAGTAAATTAATAATATTCTATGTAAGGAACATGATACTTTGGTTTGAAATATACTTTCTTATACATTAATTATGTTAATACTTAAAAGATATTATATTTTATACAATTAAAAGAAACGATAAATCTTTGATTACAACTTTTGTAATTACACATTTATTAATCTCTGATAATTTCTCAAAGATTTTAGTTCATTTTTATAAAACAAAATTCTATTTGAAATCAATTCTTATAATGATACAGGACAGGTGGAATTTATTCACCTATTTTTTTTTAAAGAAATTTATAACATTAGTATATCATCTTAACATCACGTTTGTAACATTTGTACTAAAATATTTAATTTAAAGTATATAATTTTAATGTTACAATAATATGAAAATAATATTGCTTTTTGAAATAAATATTCTAGTAACTGTATAATCTTATTGACCTTTTACTTTAAATTACATTAAATTACATTAAATTGAGAAACGTTGTATATTTACTTTATCTACTCTAAAGGTAAGGACATTGTAACATTTTCTTATTTATAAGTAATGTCTTACGTTGGTTAGATAATCATACATTAATCTGTTTCTTGAGAAAAAATACGAAATTTATACATTTTTGCATAATGCAATTAAAATATATCGTGGAAAAATCTTAAATTATATTTCAAAAATTGCAGTGACATAAGTTATGTACTTATTATATGATTCGACGCAATATAGGAATAATATAATTAATATCTAAGACTTTCTTTGTGTAAGAATAATCGTACATAATATTGTACTTACTTTTATAATCATAATATTTTACATTTTCTTATGCAACATAAAACTTACAAATACATAGTTTCTTACTCCAAACCTTATAATTTTTAAATTTCACTTTTCACTGTATCGTAACATTAGATATAAAAAATACAGAAAAACGTATGCATATATAAAATATAGAAATATTTTAAAACAAGCTAACTACTTATATTTTCTAAATATAAAATAAAATTTATCATCATTAGAATGTTTAACCAATATAAAAATAATAAAACAAAACTTTCCAAATACAATTAACTTACAATAATTGTACATAGTTTTTTTATGTTTATACATTATATGTAATAAAATAATATATTGATATAAATACAAAATCTTATCCTTGCTCAATCACTAACAAAGTACATAATTTGCAGTCTTATACATGTGCATATCCATTTTCCAAGTTTTATTTCAGTACTGATTTCAATAACTTTATCTATTGGAAAAAGAAGAAGAATAAGAGCTGTTATTTTCTATTATAAAAAACAATATTATTCTGTACAAAATAACTTTATCATGTATCACCATATATATTCAACCATAAATTTTTCCCACAAAATATTTTGTTACTTATTTTATCATTTATTTTGATTTTAATCTTTATATGTTTCAAAACCTCAATCAACGTTTTAAAATCTTATTTTTATACACATATATTCTTAAAAGCTTATATTTCAATTATGAATAATTTTATCGAAAATTGAGTGCAGTGTTTTTAATAATTGTATTCACAAAAATCTATTATACACAATATAAACAGTTTATTCAAAACTGCATTATCATACTGAAATTTAAATAGTTTTCAAAATTATAGAAAAAATTATAAAGCTAAAACATCTAGCTAAACTTTCATGTTAATGTCTGCTGGATCTACACTATTTTGGAAGGGGTTGTTTATGAAATGATACTTCTGGTACATATAAAGCAACTGTTGAATCAGACTTTTCAATATGTTTTTTCTCAATACGTTCAATATGTTTTTTTCCAAAATGTTCAATGCGTATTTTTTTATAAGAATCAGTAGGTTCATCTGAACAAAAAAGACACATACAAAATGCAGACACTATTCCTACTATAGTAGCAGAAATTAACAACCAGTTTGGCAGTTCAATTTGTTTTGAAGTGCACTGAAGCTGATCAGATTCAGGTACTGAAGTTGATTGGTCATTTTCTCCAGAGTAGTCTGATGGTACACCATAATCCACTGTCTATCATATCATAATCAATCAAATTTAAATAACTTAGAACAAGCAAATGTATTTTATGTAAAATAAAATTTCTACAGAAGATAAATATCTACAATTAAAATAAAGTATTTCTAAAGAATAAAAAATATTAACATTTGTTTCATAGATATACATTTAAAATTGTATTGATTAAATTTTTATTTAATGAAACAGTTGAAAACTTACCCCAGTATCTAAAGGAACAGTCTTAATATATGTTTGTGGTAATTTAAATCCATTAAAATCCCACCATCCTGGGAGAAGTTCCTTTCGTAAGCCTGGATCACTCAAAATATCATTTTCAGGTATATCAGGTGACATTACAAGTAAGTTAGAATCTACACCCTCTCCTATATAAACAGCAACAGAGAAGAGTGACAATAAATCTGAAACACGCTGCTTGGCCATAAAATCACAACCAGTGCTACATGCGTAGCGATCTTGGGGAGCTGTATATGCTTCTGTACATGCTACAACAGAATAAAATAACATTCTATTTGAATGTTTTCTAGTTGCAGCTCCTGAGTAAGCTTTTTAGCAATATTTTGAATTATAAAAAAAATACTTTTAATTGGCATTTAAAACAATCTTATATACAAAATGAAATAATTGCCTAAAGTTTCATTCTACAATTAAATTTAGATTGTCTTTTTACTTAGATGTTGTTACAATTATTATATAATTGTAACAACAATATATAATGTTGTTACAATTATTATATATAGTGTACGTACAAGCTTCGCAAGCATCTCTAGTGCCATTCAAACGATTTGGTTCCAACCCATAATGTAAATCCACTAAATTGAAGAATCTACATCCTCGTTGACAACACGATTTAACGTATTTACTCTAGAATCAGTGAACATCGTTAGTACATTAGTTCATCGTTAATACATCATTTACAAATGTCTGCAAATTGAGAGGACACGTACATTTGTAAAAGACAACGGTGTTTTTTCGCATAAGTTAATGCAAGGATCTTCTCGGTTTACGAGACTGCAGGACATATCACCATGTACAAAATTTGTAAAAAATAATAATAGTAATGAAACGACTCCCTTTTCTTTTATCATCTCGGAGAACTCGCGTTTTCCGAAGGGAGTACTTAGTATATCGACCAAAATATTTCGCCAGACGAAGAGACTTCACTTAGGAAGAGTTGATAGTTCCTCGAATAATCGAGTAAATATCGATTTAATTATGGTGGGTATGCATCGCATTGGTCGACGCATTTGCCGCTTGCAAGAATCGACCAATGTTATTTTTCAAAGTTACAAATGCCTGTCGTCCGCTAAACTTCGATATTTTCCATGCTTTAACTCATGTTACATATAAAAACTTCACGCGATAAGATTGTATCGTGCGTGTGATAATTTTTTGTTGAACGAAACTTCATTTTTTTTCTTTTCTTTTTTTCGGAAATTTGTATTATTACAAAAGACAACATTATGATTCTTTCATTTTTCTTTCGAATGTTAAATTAATAACAGCGTTAGATAAAACGCTATTGACGATTAGATACAGTTTAAACTGTATCCGTATCCAGATAAGTGCCATATCTACGAAAGATAAATTTAGATAATTGAAAACATTATTTCATAATTGTACAATTTCCAAGATTATATCAACTTGACCGTGAGAAAAATTTACAACTGCTATCATTTCTTTGATAAATTCGATGGTTTTTATTTTATAATATTCGAGTTGGATATCGCGATATGACATCAACACGATATAATTCGATAAGTATCGTGAGCTGCTGACGTGTTCGAAATCTGCAAGAATTTGAAGCTACCATGATATTACAATCATATTTACCCATAGAACACCGGACTGGTGGTAATTCACTGATAAATATTGTACATTGATTCAATATTTAGGTAGTTGAGAATATATAGAATTTAAATTTTGCACTGGACGTTAGCAGAAGTTTCCACGTGTTGTCTATATCTATTATTTACTTGTAAATAGTAACGGAAGTATAATGTGGTAAAGTATGAATATATTTTTATTATAAATTATTTTGCTCGCCAATGGCAATTTATAAATCGAAAAATTATAATTTTGATCTTTTGTTATTTTGGTTCTGTGCTTTGGTTCACTCTATTGAAAATAGAAAAAAATGTAATTCAAGTTGAGCTTATATAATTTATGTACAATGTGCCAAATGGTTACAATATTTGTAACAGGATGCCAGTTGAAGAGGGTTTTGCCACAAAAGCTATTCACGCTGGCCAAGATCCATTACAATGGAGTCATTGGGAAGTAGTACCTCCTATTGTAACATCCACTACTTACCGTCAGGATGGACCTGGAGTAACTAGAGTAAATTGCTTTTACTTCAAAACTAAAGACGTTGTACTCTTACACAATGAAAATGTTGATTACTTTAATGAAAAAGTTACATATTTTTAAATTAGTGTCATATTACTAAATTAAATTAATTAAAATTATAGAAATTTAAATTTTATATACTTATTATTTGAATCATTGTTATTGTTCTAGGGTTATGATTATGGAAGAAGTGGCAATCCCACAAGAAATATTTTAGAAACTTGTTTAGCTTCTCTGGAAAATGGAAAATATGCGTTAACTTTCGCTTCTGGATTAGGTGCTACAACAGTAGTAACTTCATTATTAAATGCAGGAGATCATATTATATCTGGAGATGATATTTATGGTGGAACTAATCGTTTTTTTCAAAAATGTTTATGCAGACAAAGTAATACAATAACGTTTGTGGATATGTTGGATATTAGTAATGTTACATCTAATATAAAATCAAATACAAAGGTGAAATGTGGAAAAATCTTTAATCACATTAACAAACATAAATTTTGAAAAATACATTTATATTTTTTAGATGGTTTGGCTAGAGACACCAACTAATCCTTTATTGAAAGTAATTGATATTCAGGGTGTTGTTCAAGCAGTGAAGGAAAAAAATCCTGAAATTATTGTAGTGGTAGACAATACTTTTCTAACAAGTTACTTCCAGGTGACTAATACTTTTTATTTATCATTTTAACAATATTAAATACTTAATAAATACTTAATTTTACAGAAACCATTAAATTTAGGAGCAGATATTGTACTTTATTCTGTAACAAAATATATAAATGGACATTCGGATGTTATTATGGGTGCAATAATTACAAATAGAAATGATCTCCGGGAAAGGCTTGCATTTTTTCAAAATGGTATTTTTGAATAACATATTATAATTTTTCCTTAATATTAATTTTAATTTTATTCACATATATAAAAGTAACCTCAAATTTTGAATTATTTTAGCTATGGGTATTACTCCATCGCCAATAGATTGTTTTTTGGTTAATCGTAGTATAAAAACTCTGAAAATTAGAATGCAACAGCATATGGAAAACGGATTAGCAGTTGCACGATTTTTAGAATCACATTCTTGTGTAGATAAAGTATTTCATCCATGTATGTATCTTTATAAAATATCGAATTTATATCTTTTATACTGCACTTTATGTAGTTTTATAAAAATTTACAGAATAATATTCTCTACAGTTAAATAATATCTATAACTGATATCTTTTGTAGACCTTCCTTCACATCCACAGCATGAAATTGCTCTTAAACAAGCATCTGGTCATAGTGGAATGGTTTCGTTTTATCTAAAGGGCGATTCTAACAAATTTTTAAAGGCCTTAAAAATATTTACATTAGCAGAATCACTTGGTGGTTATGAATCTCTTGCTGAATTGCCGTAAGTAAATAGTAGTTTGTCATTAAGATTTTTCTTGTCTAACAATAAGTTTTCTCTTTTTATTATTTTTATTATTCTAATTTTTTGTACAGATCTGTGATGACTCATGCATCAGTTCCTGAAGAAGATAGAAAAAAATTAGGTATTAATGATCAATTAATTCGTTTATCTGTTGGTCTTGAAACAAAGGAAGATCTTTTAGCTGATCTCGATCAAGCTCTTAAAGCTAGTCTCTAAAACTAAAGTCTAAAACTAAAGTCTCAATGAACATACTAATTGATGTCCGACAAGTTTTTATACAATATATGGCATAAAATATAAACATATTTTTCTAAAAAGTAAAATTGTTTAAGCACTTTATAATGTATATAATATGTGAATTATTTTACTATTAGAAGTTTTCTAAATAATTTTTTATTTAATTTAAATATATACCAACAATCCTGGTACTAATATTGCACATTATAGCAAACAATGTATTAATATAATAATAACTATCAAATTTGTTCTAATAGAAGATCATGATATACATATTTTTTAAAAAAGATTTATTTATTTAACATTCCACACTACATTAATATAAATACATCACTTAATTTAATAGTGCCGCATCTACCATTTAATTTTTGTATGAAAAAATTGAACGTTGTATAATAAGATTTTAAATAATTATATATTAATATTTGTATACATCATACGTCAAATAATTATACACACATAATAGTGATCAAAGAAAAATAAATATTCAAATATTTAATATGTTTTATGAATTAAAATAAAGTAGAATATCTTTATTAAAGAACTTATAATTCTTAATATTTTTCTACAAATTTTTTGAATCTGTATTGAATCAACTTTACATACATATCCTCCAAAAAATAAATTATTCTTATTTTATATTGTACTCAATGTACAATAAAATTTTTATGATTATGTAAATTTGAATTATTGTATATATACAGTCATAGACTGTTTTATTATAAAATATACTTAAAGTGCAAAATACACTTTTCTTTATAAAAAAGATTTAAATTATAAATAATTTATCATTGTAATGAATAAAATACTGTTATAAAAATTAATACTAAATTTGTTCATTATTCATTACATTAATGCAAACGCCTATTTTTATTAAATATAAAATTTTAATAAATAATATTGTAATTACTGTAAATTAACTTTAGAGTTGTATCGTAATTTAGCTTTGTTTAGTTTATCATACTCTTGTGCTCGATTATACAACAATACTCCTATTATTACTAAAGATGTTCCCATAGCTGATAAACCAGTTACTGGATTATTAAATAGTAAAACAGAGAGCCAGATTAAAGATGCTCTTTTTGCTGTATTAACAACACTGCAATGATACAAAATATTATTAGTAATCAAAACTCAAGCTACGTTATAACTATTTTAGTTTAAAATAGCATAAAATACACACCTATGTGTCACAGGACTAATATAATTCATGAGTACATATGCTGTAATACTTTGAAAATGGAAGAACACTCCATTAAGTAGGAATGCTGTGAATAGTTTAAAACTCAATGAATGCTCAAGAGTTGGTAAATCTACAAATAAAATCAATACTGGTATTTGTACCACAATTGATGCTAAACTAGTATAGAATTGCAGTTCCGCAGGCCTGTAATTTTATGTTATTAATAAATGTAAGAAACTTAACTGTATTTAATACATAAAGTGTAAATAACAGTTTTGATATATATACAGTACTTACGTATACCTAAAATTATCACCACTGATTAATATTTTGGAATAAACATTTTGTAAACATTCTGTTACATTTGTAGCCATAGCAGCAATAAATCCCCTAAGGTCAAAACTAATTTCATTTATTGAACATAGGGCTAAACCACCCATTAAAGGAATTAAAGATAAATTTACATATAACCCTGTGTGTTCCCCTATAAATAATATATAAATTGTCACATAATAGTTATATATAACAAAGCATATAATACATATAATTACACAATGATTTTTACCTAATAAATATCTGCTAATAAGGACGGTAAAAAGTGGTGCGCTACTTTTAATAGTTTCTGTGAAACTGACTGCTACATAATTAAGTGATACTAATCCTAATACTACAGTTGTAAACCTTGTACATCCAACCAATATCATATGTTTATAAAATCCTGCTGGTCTCATTAATCTGGGACGTGCTTTGTACATTCCACATGGAAAATACATTTGAATAAATCCACAAATTGTAGTCATTAACATTTGACAAGCACCTAGTTGAAGAAATTAATGCTCAACATTAAAGATAGAAACTATTAATTTTATATTTGTAAAATAGATAAGGTTTATATTAATTTACCCAAAATTGTAGGATTTCCCTCCATATATGATAATATGTATTTATTTAAAAATAAAGTACATCCGCTAATAAGATACCATAATACTAGAAATAACATAGCTTTCGGATAGAAAGAACTACCCATAGCTTCATTTGTTACGGTCGTTTCCTCGTGTTTCTTAATATTTTCTTCATATGAATTAGTTTCACTGTCATGTATTAATGGTTGTTCTGTGTCACGAGGTGTTAACGCGTAATTTATACGAACGGAATGATTTTCCATTACATACAGTTTCTTCTCAAATGAAATGTTTACAACATTACATACAACTTTGCCGGTGAGATCACATTTTTCATACGTCAGAGTCGTATGATGTTGACATTCGTATGTTTCTTCCAAAGATTAAAGAGGTTATATTTTCAAACTTTTAAATTTACAACAAAAATTTTTGTTTCATTGTTACATGCGGTATGAAAAGCTTTATCAACTTATGATATTGACATCCATACATTCAACTTTATACTTGAGTGATTATAATTATTTTATAGTTATTGCATTGTTATAAAGCAGTATGTAATTATGGTCATACTAAACTCGTGTATTTAACACACTTCGAAATCCATGTAGTTGAAATAGAAATCTTTGTTTATTTTATTTTCATAATATATATGCTTAATATAAAGTATGAAATAAATATTAAATAATTAAAAGATGTTCATGTTTTTAATGAAATATAACATTTTGTACAATAGTTTTATTATGAAAATTATCTTTTACAATTTTTTAATAATAACTAATACTAACTAATAGTAATTAACTAACTAATACTAATTAATAGTAATTAACTAACTAATACCAACTATTTTGTATTGATATTATATTATAATTCAATAGATAATTTTTTGGTAGACAAATTTCTTTGTATAATTCTTTCAAAACAAAACTTTGCAGAGAAATCCTTATATGCTAATAATGCAACATTTTTTGCACCTATTGCACTCATCTCCATTGCACTAGCTATCAATTCAATAGCATTAACATGATAGAGTGTATCGTGCAATTTAAATTTTGCTTCAGGAATTCTTGTTATATATTCAGGATATGCCTTCCAAGTTATCTGTTTTTTTTCCTGAACCTTGAACATAATAAATCAATTTTCTCTTACACACTAGATAAATCACAGTTTGTGCAAATATTACAAAGTAAGTCTTACATTTAAAAACATTTCATTTATAATATTGGATTTTAATGGTTTATTACTAAATATTTTCCAAATGTTACTACTTTTCATTGAACCTTCTACAGAGTTTAATCTTCCCAAAGAACTAATTATTGTTTTGTTAGGATTACAACTTAAAATATTATCTAATTCTTCTTCCAAACCAAAATAGTGTGATTTTAAATCTGCTTTGACAAATGTAGCTATAGTTTCATGGTATTCTGCAGAATTATAAAAATCATTGTTTGGAAAGCCTTCAAAAATTATAGGAAATTCTTGATTACTAAAAAGTGGAATTGCCAGAATTACAATATCATATGCTTCCTTCATTATAACTGTACTATCTGAAATAGAAATTGTTAGATAATTATTACAAATATGTATAAGTTATTAGTAGTATTCCATACTTTGCGCACAAGAATGTACTTCATATACATCTGGACTATCATCGTGTGGTATGTAAACAATTTTCATCACTTGTGAAGATATAACATTTACATATTTATTTCTATATATTAAATGTTCAGGTACCTAAAATATTAATACAATTATTGACTGTGAAGTGAAAATATTTTCTATGAAATTAATAGAAGAACAACCTTTTTATTTCCTCCTTTAACAGACCACAAATTAGAACCTGCTCCAGCTAAAGATACAAAGCCAACAAAACTATGAATATTTGTGTCTTGCCCATAATTTACTACCAGTGTTGTTTTCACAAGTTCGTCAATTAACTTTTCTGAATAACCTAGATCTAAAAGCTCATTTTTGATAGATTTCTTTAACAATTTCGAAAATCCAGTATTCACAGATAGTAGCAGATTACTAATATTCACAAAAGCTTCTCCATTATTCTGTAGATGGTATATTTTTTCAAAGTCATTTATTACAGAAATTACATGTCTGTTTAAAATTAAAGAAATCAACTATCATCATAATAATATATATATAAAAAAAAAAATGCATTTCTAATCTAATTCTCCAATAATTTATGTGAAATACCTATTGAGACTAAACGGTTGAATTCCATATCTATAGATTAATTTGACTAATGATAATATTTCCCAATTACTTTCTTCAAATACAATTTCATTGCCATTCCAAATACTTGTTCTCTGATTTTTAGATGGTCTATGCTGTAAACCTAAGTCAAGAGACACGTAGTTTAGATATTTGCGAAATTGTATTTATACAAATCTAGAAGTATTTATAAAAAACGAAGTACCAAGCAGTTGAACAAAATCTTGCATATATTTATTTCGAGGATGTATGATTGAACCCCCAGCTTCGAATTCATTATTATCAATTTTTACCGTGGCCAAGCGTCCGCCGATAGTTTTCGCTTCGTATAAATCGATATCAAGGTTATTATTAAATATTTCTGTGAGAAAGTGAGAAGTCGCTGCACCACCAATGCCACCTCCAACAATTGCTAAAACAAATTTTTGAATGATTTATTTAAATAAAAGTAGCAACAATTAATCAATGGTATTTTATTAATCACCGAAGTGATATCTTCATTGCTTGAAGTACATTTGCTTTGTTACCATTTAATTTAATTTTTCCATTTTTTAGATATACGTAAAATTATTTTATTGTTATTGATATACAGATAATTTACAGATTTTATTTTAATTACCAAACTTTCACTTACCTATGTTCGGCTTACATTTATTATAACAAATTCCTCTTTTAAAAATCAGTATACTTAACAAAACTGTATGCCAATTCATGTTATCGATTGATCTGTTGCGCTTCTAATTTTTTTTCATAAAAATTTAGCTATCTGCATATGTACATATATATATTTAAGATTATGTATTTTTTTATATTAATGATTGATAATAATAAATAAAATTATTTTAAACTTTAATAAAATTTATACCATCCTTTAATTGTTACATACATATTTATATTGTTGTGTAAAATATATGATTTATTTATTCTATAAATATATTTATTATATTAAAATGTGATACATATATATAAATTATATACATAATTAATTATATTTGTATAACAAAAATATGAATTATAAAACCAATTAAATTGTTATTATTTTACATAATTTAATTACATTATTATGAGTATTATTATAATTATGACTTAATTACGTTATTATAAGTATTATATTATTATAATTATAATTTAGATACAACTACAAATGTCAAACTATATATGTTAAATATACTACTCTAGGTAGATTTATTCACTCCATGTTAGAAAGCACGTGTAACATGTTTCTATGCAGTTAACCTCGCGTCGGAAAATATTTTTGGATTTGTTTCTGTGAATTTTTTTAAATCAATCATGACAAAAAAAGAACTAAAACGTAAACGGACCGATAATGTTAATAAGGAAAATATATCGCAAGTTGAAGTTTTACCAGCAAAAAGAGTATCAGATGAGCCACCACCAAAAAAGGTTTAAAAATATTTTTGGTTTTGTTTGCCTAAATTCTAACACAAGTTGGAATATAAATGGATGCAAGACGTATTATGGTAATAAATCTGCCACATATTTTCTTTTTGTAATATAGGTAAAATGGATTAATAGGCAAAGAGTATTGGTATTTGCTACTAGAGGAATCAGTTATAGACATCGTCATCTTATGGATGATTTAAAAACTCTCATGCCTCATCATCGTTCTGAATCTAAAATGGAACATACTAAAAATTTGCAAGTAGTCAATGAAATGTGTGAAATGAAAAACTGTAACAAATCAATATTGTTTGAAGGCAGAAGAAAAAGAGATTTATATTTATGGTTTTCTAACGTCTCTGTAGGACCATGTGCAAAATTTCTTGTTGAAAATAGTAAATATTATAATTTTTAATTATAAGATATTTATAACTGAAATTATAATATACAAATAAACCAATGACTTTTATGTTCTAGTTTATACTATGGGAGAATTAAAAATGACTGGAAATTGTTTGAAAGGTTCCAGACCATTGCTATCATTTGATGAAAACTTTGATGCAAAACCACATTATAGTTTGTTGAAAGAATTGTTTGTACAAATCTTTGGTGTTCCTAATCATCATCCTAAGAGTCAACCATTTTTTGATCATATATATACATTTACTGTATTGGACAATAGAATATGGTTTAGAAATTTTCAGATTTTAACAGAAGATGGAGGTTTAGCTGAAATAGGTCCAAGATTTGTATTAAATCCAATAAAAATATTTGTTGATAGTTTTTGTGGAGAAATACTTTGGGATAATCCATCTTATGTTTCCCCTGCTAAGGTATAAATCAAATTTTTATGATAAACTTAATTAATATAATTTTTCAATGACAAATTTAATAATTGTAATATTTTAATTTATAGTTTCGACAATCTTTGAAGAAAAATACTGCTGGTAAATATATAAATAAAGTACAACAGAAAATAGCACAAGAGGCTAGTAAGCCAAAAAAATCATATTCATTGAATCCCTTGGATGAAATATTTAAAGGTGATCCATTAGAAAAAGCATTAGAATTACAAAAAAAAGAAATAAAACAAGTACAGGATAATGATGACAAACAGAAAAAAGTTCAAAAACATAGTAAGAAACAGTTAAGAAAGAAAGTAGTAAAGTGTAATTCCAAAAAGAAAAAAAAAAATTAGTAATATAATATTGCATTCAAAAATATGTAACATCAATAAACTTTTCATAAATTATTTCATAAACAATATATTTTTATTTTTCATACAATGTAATGTACATATTTTATAAAGACAAGCTTAAAAAAATTAGTTGTTATGTGTATTTAAAAATGTTAAAAGTTTCATGATGAACAAAATATGCAAAAAACACGTATAAACATTTTACATTTCTTCAAATTTTGTGTAATTTTTATATTGTGCATATTTTTTTATAGAATTACATAATTGTGTGATTTATTCTTAAAAATTACTTATATAAAAATACATAATGCTAAACATGAAGCACGAACATAACTCAACATTGTTCAAAAAATAAAGTTATTGCACCTAATACAATTCACTCAAAAATAAACATTTGATTCAATTAATAATAAGATAATATTTTACATAATAACATACTATACATTATAGTGTATTATACAGGTTTCATATAAAAGTAAATTCATTATTGTAACGCGTATCTTTTGATTATATAAAATTATTCATAAATTCTTACAACATTATAAATTGCAGCTGACTCATATTTGTACTTGATTTTGTTACATTAAAGCATACTTTATAGGATAATTTATACAATATATCTTAATATAGAAGTTTGAGTGTTTTCACGTATAAATCATTACTTAATATTAAATTTTAAGTGTAATAAATTTAATTAACTTAATTAAAAAACCATTAATTAAAAAATTGATTAAAAAATATAAAAATTCAAATTGATTCAAAATTTTGAAATATCGAAGTGATTGTTACAGTTATACATTACTGGACCTTCATTTTTATTTAATATCTTAAGAAAATAATAGTATAATCTTAAAAAAAAACCTAATATAAAACATAAAAAAATATTTTATCTACTTATAGTATATGTCATATGATAATAATAATATTTTAAAACTAGGAGATAAGATATTAAAGATCTGAAATTTATTAGAATCAACACATGTATTACGGAATCATATGAAGTAATTCAACGTAACCGTAAAGTAAATTGAAATTGCAATGATACTGGGAGTAGTTTTATTTAGTTTTATACATTATTCAAAATAATTCACCCTCAAAGTTATGATTCCATAGAATTTTAAGTCTGTTTTTTTCATTTCATTGAATAATAGCACTTGTGAATCTTTAATATCGTTTCTTTAGTACTTTGCACTACTCATCTCTTTAATTCATATAGAAAATTATATCTTTATGTTATATTTATAAATACTAATAAAAATTCTAAAAAGAAAAGAAAATATGTACTTTTTTTGAAATAAAAAAATACATATTTCGTTGATGCTTTTACAAAAATATATATATTTATGGACTGTAAAAATGCATAATTAAAATTTATCTTTTTTGCCTACATTAAGTACTATAAAATCTGCCTTTACTAATAAATTTTATAAGATCGTATGTAAAATATAAATGAGTGTTGATTTTTTCTTTGTTTAATATTTTATAAAATTGATTTTAAATATGTCATAATAATTTAGTATTTTAGAAATATAACATTTCCTTTTATAAATAAAATACTTTTCATAATTTTTAACTAATACTTTTTAAAGATATTAATTAATGCTAAATTGATTAAAAATTGATTAAAAATTCTACAAATCAAACATATTTTGTACAAATATATGGCAGTAGTTTCAGACATAAAAATATTGATAAATTTAAATTTAAACTGTTATCTAAATATAATATATAATTTTAGTGTAAGATACATATTTATATCATAATATTTATAATTATTATAATCATTATATATCAATTATATACATAAATATGTATATACTGATTTTATGAATGATTGAATGTTATATAAAAGTTATGAAAAGCTTTCAAATTTATAAATATTAAATGCTATTGTAAGCTATTGAAATGCTATTGTATTTTATACATGCTTATAAAAGCATGTATAAAAGTGAGAAGCAGAAAGTCTGTGTTTTAGTATAATACTTATGTATTCATTGGTACTAATTCATGTGCTTGTTGGCCATTTGAACTAGTATTAGATTCGATTTGAACTAACGCTGATTGACGCCATTTTCCATTCTCGCCATTTAAATTCTTATCTTCACAGATGCAAAGAAACAAAGTGTCTATTACAGTCTGTAATAAAACATTAAACGATAAAGATATGTAATAGCATGTATATTATATTTATATAAAAAATCTGTGCAATATACCTCATAAAGAGAAATAATACAATGAGCAATAAAGAATGCAAAGATACAAATAACGAAAACTGGTGCTGCATAAAAATGTAATCTAGGGTCTTGTTTCATAAATAATAATGCAATACTTCCAGTTGCAGCAGTGACAAAGCATTTACCCAAAAATAGAATAAAATCTCCTATTCCATTAATTACTGCTATTTGTAAAGCATTATTAACAAGAGCTGTAAATGCCTATAAATAAAAGGATGTAAATTATTTCGTTTCCTGTATTATTTTTATAAATTTTTAACAGATGAAATTTTATATATATATATATATATACGATTTTAGCTGCATTGCAAAAATGTGTCCCTTCGATGGCAACTACTGTGTATGCATTATGGTTCATGTATCGAATAAATTTTTCTAAACAATAAAAACAGCATATGCAACATTTTAAGCCACACTGTGCACATGGAGATGTTTCTTTATTTTTCTCGAATCTATAAAATGTTTGTATTTTAAATTTTTGTAATAGTATTATAATCTTATGCATTAGTGAAACATACTTAGCATACAAATATGTCAAGATTAAACGAGGTAACTTAAAAAGTGTTATTAAAAATGAGCCACAAGCTACAGAACCTAAGTGATAACTAACTAAATTTCCCATAGCAGAGCATACTGGGGATGTACTAGCATTTTTGCCTCTGAAATAATAAATGCATGTATCATACAGGTGTGTATATTTTACTTTACTTATATATATAATAATTGTCCTTATAGTATTACCTAAAATACCAGTGTGCTACAGCTCCTGATATTACCATATCTTGACAAGAAATAATGAATTCAGATGTCCATATTAATCCTATGATGTACACCCACCACATATACTTTACCCAAGTTGGGTCTACATATTCCACAAGCGTGAAAGCTGAAATATTTTAATGCTAATAATAAGTGCTAAATTAAAAGAACTTGTGTATATTACTACTTACTTTTAAATGAGTCAAAAGAAAAATCAAATTTTTTTTCTTCAATATACGCACTTTTTTCTCTAATTAAACTCAAATTTAGAGGATCAAATATGTGATTTTTATACATCTGTACAGATTTTGTTCCAGGATAATCTACAATTTTTGTATTACTATATAAATATTATTTCCATTTTGAAATTCTATTACACGAATTAAAATACTTACTGGCTGTTGCAAGGCAAAGAATTACAGTTATCCAAAATGCAAAAAATAGTATCAGTGCAGTAAACGTTAGCAAAGGTTGAAAAAATAAACCTGGTAATTCTGCTAAACATTTAGCACTTTCTTTGAATAATGCTGTCATGAATCCAATACGTTTGCGCAATATACTTAAAAGTAATAATAAGATGACCTGAAACATATAAAAATTTATAAGTGTTTTAATTAATCATAAAAGAAATTAATTAATAACTAGACTTACAGTTATTATTGTTGCAATAATAGAAAAAGCTAAAAATGCTCTTTCATTTCTAACAGATTCCTCTAAAAGCTGATTCGGATTAGTTTTATCTAAAGTTCTTTTAATTTCTATATATGTCCACCATAATAATGCACTCCCAGCTATATAATTAAATAATTCATTGAAATAGAATCTTAATAACTATATTTTTGCATTTCAATAATTTTCAATTTCAACAAAACAATTTCAATAATTACCTATAGTTGATACACTGACAAGAATCATCACAATCCATGTCACAATACTTGCTAATAAATGAAATATAGCAATCATGAAAAGAGATAAAACTGAAATAAAACATTTCATTTGATTATTTGTGAAGAAGATGCAGAACTAGCAATAATTATGGTAAATTTCATACCAAAAGCTAAAAAGGATAAAGATAAAATCTCTCTCCATGTTTTATACAAATCTCCCAAAATTTGCTCAATAATATCCCAAGAATTAATAAGGCCATATAAATTTGCAATTATAGTTTCTCCTACATCTTTTATAGCCTTAGGAATACAACGGTTAAGAACTAGCATACTATTATACACTGGTAATCCAGGACAAGAGCCAGTTTTGTTTTTTCTGTTCCCATTACTACAAGCACTGAAATTATTTGCAGGTTTATCATGACAAAGTTGAGATCCTGTTTCTTCATAAAATTTACATATATCATTCATTGTTGTCATAGTTCGATCTGGGCACTTCTTGACACAAATTTTTAAAGACTGGGTGACATTGTATATATCCAAAAAGAACAGGTATCTGAAATAATTAATTTCATGAAACTTTACAATATTTCTTGTTTTTCAATATGAAAATTGATTATTTTCATATTAATACTAAACGGTTTATCACTGGTGTCTTGTCCAGACAACTCCATACTACCAAACTTTGGATTATTTTTCATACCACAAGTATTTCCAAAGCTGTCATATCCATTTATAAGTCGTATAGGGTTACCATAAACAAGAGCAAAGGCTGCTATCAAAATCTGTAATGTAATATATTTAATCTGTATGTAATATGTTTTACCAGTAACAAGTAGTACACTTGTATAGAGAGAACTGTATGCTTTATTACATAAAATTTCTGTGTCTCGTTTCTAGCTTAAATTTTATGTCTCGCGAGATAAAATTCAACGACAAATTTTGATTTACATACCATAAGAAACCAAAATACTATAAAACAACAAAGCCAAATAATATCGGTGCATTCTCGTACGTGTGTCGGCTCAGGCCGTTGCTCATCGTCCTCGTCTCCCGAACAGCAAGACATTTCTTAAAGCTTAAATTATTATTACAAAATAAGGCACTTAAATATTACGTTAAAAATACTTGAGTTGTCTTCGATTTCAGAGCTACTCCCTCCTTTGGATTACCTTGAAGTTATCTTCAGTTATGAACACATTGTATATAACATGATAATTTTTATTTCGATGTATTCTTTGTTTAATATTACGTTATTCGGAGTAATTGAGGCAAAAGAGTAAAATTACAAAATTAAATCAGTTCACGTTAGTCAACGTGAGTCAAATATTAATAATAATCAGAAAGACGCAGGGGACTTAGTTTCAATGTACAGTATTGTGTTTTGTATAGAACAGATTCGTCTCCAAGGTAACAACAAGTACCAACTACGTCACATGGATTACTACAATGAAGGTTGTAGCAACAACTTATATCTTCATTCGTGTATATGGAATAATGAAACCGACGAAAGGCACTAAATAGTCGAATAATAAAAGAAGTTCGATTTATTTTATTGTAAAATATAAGCATTTCATTCTTCGGAGTATTGTGTTTGTTTCAATAAATATTTTTATTGTAATAATGATCACTGATATCAAGTTCTATTGTCTAGAATTAGAAATATAACCTATTACATCAGGTAAGTACGTATCATCTTCGACATACAATTTTGAAATAAAAATTTACCTTGTTAAATCGTATCGAATTAATTAAATCAAACCATACTTTCGTTGCAAATAGTATATTCGTTTAATTTTTGAAATAATAGCTCATGTGTATTTTCTTTGATGTTTGTGTGCAATTTTATGTTCTTTTTCTTTTTCTTTGATCTTATGCTTTAAAAAATTAGTGGTAGACGATTTTAGCTCACTGAATTTTTATAATTTTAGTGATGGAGGAAGATGGTGGTAAAAGAATGAGAGGCAGAACTCGTGGCAGAGCGCGTGGCAGAACACGAGGAAGAGCTAGAGGCAGATCTAAGAAACAAGTAAAGGTAAATCCGAGTATTTTTGAAGTTTTAAATTTTTGGTTAATTTATTTGTTCAATGTATACATTCTATGTTATTTTATATACATTTCAAATAGGTCATTGAAAGTGATGAAGAAGATACTCCTCAACAAGCAGAAGAAACTACAACAGAAGTTGTTGGAACAGAATTAGAAGAACATGAAGCTCCACCAACACAACAGATTCCTTTGGAACAACAGTTCGACTTAGAAGCTGATATATCACAATTGGAAGCACCAACTTTCACAACCATCAACAGAGGACCTCCTGAACCAATGTTACGTTTAAGATGGGATCATAGAGTAAATCTTATTGGAGAAAAAGTATTAAATCCTATGATACATTGCTGTGACAAGTGTTTGAAACCAATTCTTATCTATGGACGCATGGTGAGGGTTTTCATTGTGAAGAAGATATTAAAACAAATATAAACTAAGTTAAACTTAATAAATTTTTAATATTTAAGTTTAAAAGAAGGTTTAAAGAAAAAACATAGTAGCCTCTGGAATAGAGTCAATTATTATAAACTAAAGTAATTTGTGTTATATTCCTTATAATTACATTATTGTTTTAGATACCTTGCAAACATGTATTTTGCTTATCTTGTGCCAAAAGAGAAGACAAAGTTTGTCCTCGTTGTATGGAAAAAGTTTCTAGAGTAGAACAAACTGGCTTGGGTACTGTGTTTATGTGTACACATGGAGGAACTAGATATGGGAATGCAGGATGTAGAAGAACATATCTTAGTCAAAGAGATTTGCAGGTGATTTCTCTTGATCTGTCCCAGTCTTCATTAATTTATTTAAATCATATAAATATATCAATATAATTGTATATGTACATAGGCTCATATAAATCATCGACATATATCAGCTCCACCACAACAAGTTCAAGGAATGCAAGTTGATCCTCCTCAATACGTGCATTCTAAATCAGAGATAGAGTCTCAGTTAACAAAAGTTTCATCAGTTGCTATGCAGAATACTCGCATAAAATCAGTGCAATCACATATGGTTCAACCAATAATGGGAAATGATCCTAGAGTAAATTCAATGGTCAATCAAACTCCAGTGGAACATAGACAACAACATAGACCGCAGGCATTAATATCAATGCAAAATTATTCTCAAAATTCTGCACCTCCGCCGCCAAATAATGCTACATTAAGAACAAATCTTATAACTGTGCCCATTCAGGATACAGCTATAACAACACATGACATACACACGCAACAAAGTCATCATTATTATCCTCCTCCACCTCCACAAGTTAATTATGGAGGATATAACGTACCACCTCCTGTTTCTCAAACACAACAATACTATCCACAACCACAACATCCTGCTCAAGTATCTTATGTGCCACCACCACCACCACCACAACAGCAGCAGTATGTATCTTCTACACCAACTTCAATAAGGCCATCTCCAACAGGTTATATACAAGATCCATCATATGGTCCACCACCTCCACAACAACAAGCTCCACCACCACAAACACAATGGTCACAACATCAACAACAATTTTATAGGTAAAAAAAATATATGTCTTTATTGTACAGAGCAGTATGATATAAATTGTGATAAAGTTATTGTGGAAGCGATAGATGACGATTAAAAAATGGTTGTAAATATGATTTCTGCAATTACGCTGCCACTCTATTTGAAAATATTTGAAATATTTTATACTTTTCAATAACTACAATTACGATATTCAATGACAAAAATGATACAATATTATAGTAATAAAGTTGTTTTCATCCTATAGATACATTTATTTATTTCCCATTTTTTAACTTATAGTTTGAAAAAAAGGATTTGTAACAAAGAATGAGAATTTTTTTATGTAATATGAAAATGTTTTATACTTATTATTTATATACAATTTACAAATTAAGAGTGATATAAATTAAATAATAGGATATTAATATCCTAAATAAGTATTTCTATTATGTAATGAATAGTTAGTGTTAATTTTTATTATTTTATCCTATATGCGGTATAGGAAAATAGGAAATATGTATTTTTTTAGTAAAATTTAATATTATACAGACTGTAACGATTTTAACATATGTACAAAACTCATTATATATAACATGTACATATATATAATGTGTAATTATTATTAGATTCTTATTATTTAATGAAATTAACAAATATTCATTTATTCATACACTCAATTCTGGCCTTTCGCTTTTTAATTCTAGTCATATTTATAATAAATATTAATTGACTAAAAATCTTATAATAAAAGTACTTAAAAATCTTTTTATAAGTATTTTTTAAGTGGAAGGCCAAAATATGAATAACATACATTCTTAAGGGACAGTTTTGAATCATACATGAAAATAGTTTTTAATTTTACTCAATCGCGTACGTATTACTGTATCTATGTATAATTACTCCATCATTATAGTGTCTTGTTCCCTTCACGTTTTACATCACTCCTTGTATTTACAACCTATTGATATATCAAATATTATCCACATTGCTATATATTTATATGAACTACTTTCCATTCACTTTTTCATATATATATATTTTTAAACAGTTTTTAAACTATAATAATCAACAATTGTTTAAAGTTATCAATGGATGGCAAAAAAAAAAATTGCAACATGTGTTTGTGGCACAGTAGTTGATTGTTGCATTGTTTTAAACAAAAAAAGGATGTTATTTATGACAATATAAGATATATATATATATCTTATATATAAGAGATATATATATATATATATATAATGAATATGATGTGTGTTACAATATAATTAAATGAATATATTTTAAATACCTGTACCTAAGAAATAACTAAAACTATGTTAACTATTTTTAAGCTATATAGATTACAAGATTAACAGAATAAATTAATAAAATACATAATGAATATAACAAATGACATGAATTTATGAGTGTATAAGTAATATATGTGTACTAATTAAAATTTAAATCAAATCTTTAATAAATATTAGATACTTAGGTACAGATATAAATATAATTTATTGTTCATGAAATATGAAAAGAATTAGTTGAAGCTAATTTTTTGCGTAACATAATTCTAAAAGTAAAAGAAATAATGCATCTGATACATATCTTTTTTTTTTTTTTGTAAAAGAATTACTTTTTATGATAAAAAAAGGAATTTGTTTTAAAATTTTTGCTAAAATATGACTTTAAAATAAACTGAAAATGTTTGTGTTTTATAATTATCATCTCAACATGTATATGTATTATACATTAACATTTTACACTATACAGAAGTTTAATTGTAATCCTGATTGTATAAAATATTTTCTAAAACATGTTGGTAAAATAATAATTTTTCCCAAATTTAAATTTGTTCCTAGTAAAATTATTTTATATTATACTGGAAGCCAGTCTATTTTTATTCATTGTTATTAATAATGTATTTTTATCTTCCAGCTATTACTGAATAGTATTAAAAGACGGAACAATGCTGCACTTATACAATATTTCAGGACCTTCAACATGTTTGTTAAAAAAATTTTAATTATTTATCTTTTATCGACAATACTTAGTTACATAAATAGAGTTTATAGTTCTTAGTAACAAAGAACACGATTTTCTTGGAAAATATCATCACAAACTAGAAAAATCGGTGTTTTCCTATATTTCTTGTTAAGAATCTTCTAAAGATTACACGATATACAATCGGTAATATGGCATTATAGTTATAGATAAATTAACTATATAAAATGACATTTTGGTAATGTTAAAGAATTAACTCCATGTTTTATGTTTAAAAACAAATTCGAGGTTGTATACACGAACTGATTAAAACGCCAAGGCACAGTTTGAGTATTACATACTGTTCTTTGGATTTATCAAGAGATATTAAAACATAAATGCTTTTTCGATGTAATTGAATAATTAAAATTTAGAAAAATCTAGAAATACTTTCTGTGTTTTTCATAATTGTGCTTTGCTTATATATTATTAAAAATTACTATTTTGCTAAATATTGCCATATTATCAATATTGTTACATATTATTAACATTTTCTTTAGAAGTTTCTTAATATATTTATACATGTACTTGAAATCAGTCTATCTGATGCAATCACGTAGCAGTAGAAGTATGATTATGTATATTAACACTAACTTGAGGAATGAGAGGAGATGCGAGTGGTTTGGGTGTAGTGGTATCAGGAATTGGAATTGAAACTGCAGGAGGTACTGGAGAATGTTTTTTAGCTCTTTCCTGTTGCCATGGTTTTGCATGATCCTTACTTAATCTTTCACTTAGTGCTTTTAATGCTATTTGCCTAAAAATTATCATCAGTTATAATCTATAAATATTACTGTCTTAAAATTAATTTTGAAATTATTACTAAATTAATTGCTCTTTTTTTTTACTTTATGATGTGTATTTCTTAATGAATAAGAAAAAAAATCAAACCTTCTTCTCTCACTGTCATGTGGATCGATACCAGGAAGATTTATAATGAGACCAGGTGGAGCATTGGACATGTCAAATCTTCTAACTACTTTTCTACAAATTCCAATTCGTACAAAAAAGCCATGTACTGTGTTACTTACAACTGCTATTGGTGGTTGTAAGACATTTGGAAAGAAACTGTAATCAAATCCGTGTGCAAAAGATTAAAAACATTCTACTTAATTTCACATTTTTAAACAACATTAAAATAAAATTTACCTTGCAAATGTAAAATTATCTGCCATATCACCACGTGTACCATTGTTGTGTTTTTGATAGAATCTAAGATATATCCATGATATTAATATACCACTCAGAAACATAGTTGGATGAGTGCCTTCTAGTAATCCAAAAAGCCATAATATTACTCCCATGACCCAAACCATTAATGGTATATTTCTATTTGTAATTTTCCCAATTGGTGTTTTGACTAAGATATGATCTGGCATTATTTGTTTTACGGCTACTGTGACACCTATAAACGAAGATAAATAATAACATCATTAGTTAATTACATTAAAAATTAATGTAAATGATTTTCTTTAAATTATGTAATTAATAGCATTACAATGTTGTACTGTCTATGTTATATATGTACCTATACATATGTAGCACATGTGTACAGTAATGACAACAAAATCTAATCTTATACAAAGAATGTACCTGCAATATATCCAGTTAATCCGTGAATGTGTATATCAAATAACAGATCAGGATCATTAGTGCACATATAGAGGAATAAATAAAACAAAGCTGACAATACAGCAACGCCGAAATTAACGATTGCGAAGAAAGTCATCATTTCCATCGCGCCCCATAATGGTTCAATTAATTTGCCACAGAGGCCTACTGTCACAATGTCCACGCACACTTCCCAGAAATGTATCTCAAGGAAACAGAAAGTGAATGCTGTCCAGATCCAAAAAGCTGGAGGCAGTAGATAACCTGGTGTCACGCTCAGCAGACGTACCGTTTCCGTGGAGAAGGAAAGACAATAGGAAAACAGGACTACTACGCATATGAATTTGACGCTGGTGCTGGTGTTTCCTAAAAGGGCAGCGAATTGTTGCCTCAGATAGGGGATATTTCTTCCCAGACCTTTTATCGCTGCCATTTCTATCGGCAGCCCTCTTAACCTCTTTGAATCACAGAGCCACTTGCACTATGACTTGACGTTTGCCGCATGTGTATCAGATGCATTCACTTCCTTCCTCACACGTTTACCAATGTAATGTGAAGTATAATTTGTAAACATAAAAAAAAATGGACATACACTTCGAACATTACTAATAAGAGTAATCGTGCATCTTTTTATATCTGTAGTACAATAAGCGAAATATTCTTGAGATTGTTACTTGCAATTGTACGCCTGAGTGTTTGTTTTTTGTTTTTCATCGATCAGTAATTGACGTTCGACATTTTTAAACATTTTTTTGGAGTTTGTATAAATTGTTTTCACACACAAAAAAAAAAAAAATTGATAATGGCAAAGTTCAAGAGTAACCATGTGTGAAATCTATCGTGTTCATGATTACTCCGTAAACGTTCACGAATGTTAGAACGTGCGTTGTACAGGTAATCGAAGAAATCTCAGTAAAAGGGGATATTAATGATGTAAATTGTTACAAGTTGATCTAAACAAAAATTTTTGTGATGTATGCCTTGAAATATCGACAAGAAGTAGATAACGTTGATTGATAAATGCCTGGAGTTTGTCCACGTTGCAATCGCGAGGTTTTCTTCGCCGAAGAGAAATTAGCACTTGGAAAAGTTTGGCACACGTTTTGCTTCTCTTGTCGTTAGTATCGTATATTTTTTCCGGAGAATCGAGGATCCGAGTCAATTACGCAATCCTCACGTAATGTTTTCTTTCATTATTCATTCATAAGCCAAACTTGTTTAAGCTTGACTTTCAATGCTCCATAGGTAATTGTCGAAAATTACTGAATAATTGTAACGTAGTGACACATCTCGGTGAATTATTTTGCAAGAGTTGTTACGTTCGCCTATCGACTGCAAATCATGAAATCAAAGAGACACAGCATTCACCAGCGATTTTGACAGTTTCGACGGAGAGATCGTTGAATTGTCACTGTTCCGATAGAGAAAGCTCGATCGATAACGTGTCGTTAAATAGAGATCAGTATTATCGATCCGACAAGTGCAGACTTCGTGGCGGAGGTAGCGAAGCCGAGGAGACAAACGTTTGCCTTGGTAAGGAGAAAAGGCCCTTTTTAGAGAACGAGTGCACAGATCTAAATGTCGTCAATTCGATGACAACAATTTGCGATACACCACCGAGTCCTACCGCAGTAACCACTTGGTATAGTCGGCAACATTTAAAGTTCCACAGGTTTAAATTTACTTTCGATATGTAACTCCACTTTTTCTGGCCCTACTGAATTTTAACTTAAAAAAAAAGTCTTGTTAATGATAACGCTCTTGTTGAAATAGTACGTTGCCTTTGGAATCGCAGAAGAATAACACTGTCGCGAAAGATTACCGATTTAAGTCGCAGAAACAGGAAACAGATCAGTTTGAGTCAAAGACTTCGTTCAGTAATAATGAAGTCAACATTACAGAGGCTCAGTTAAGGTATATCAAATTTTCTGAATCTTCCGCACCTTCTTTCAGATTTTTGTAAGCTATTTTTGAAGAAATGTTTAGCCCTAAGCGCAAAAATAATTGGATACGTTAGACTAGCGTTTGCGTTGAATTTGCATTTACCACGTTCCATTGCAAACACTATCTGTCGGTAAGATATCGATAGTTTCAAACTCTGCAATCGTTAAATAGTGAACTTAACTATTTGGCCACTGCTTTATGCGACAAACTTTAAACGTCTGTATTTTTCCTACATTATTTTCAAGCACCAGTGCAACGACAATTTGTCAAAATAAGGCTTTCTAAGCGTAGATATTTCCAGCACAGACAAAACTCAAGTGACAACCGTTAACCGGGATAATAAAATTAACGAATACGACCCGGTGTACGAATTTAACGGCAGTAACCACTTCATTATTCCATCAAGACGAAAATTTGCGTATCCGCCGGTACCACCGCCTCGCATCCCGTTGCCATCCCGACGACGAGTCTCGTTCCACGACGTCGTTTTCGGGGAAATGCGCAATGATCATCAGGATTGTGTCACGAAAATGCAGAATGTTCATCGTGGGCCCTGTTGCAATAACGACGATAGACAGGAGTGCAATAACTCTTACATTTGGCAAGCGGACGATTCGGTTGATAAAAACGACGGCGGATACGAAAATGTTAACGTAAATCATACCGATAGTGGCAGAATGCATTTTGAAAGAAGCGCGTCGGACTGTGACGAAGAAGACACGCCAAGTAAACACAGTGGCAACGAAGGGAATCGTGAGCAAGATCGTTGCTGCGTCGAGGACAATTCGGAATCGCGCTCGTACAGGATAACAAACGAGAAAGACGATGCGTCGTCGAGGGAAGATACGATGATGTACGGCCATCAAAGTGGCCCGTATTCGTCGAATGAGCTTGATGAAAATGAACGAATGCGGGGAGGATGCGCTGGACAGTGCGGATCTCGTCTCAGACCTTCGTGTGGAACAGCTAAAGTCGAAACTGCTTGTTTTTGTAAAAGTAAACAGAAAAAAAACTGCGTTGTAAATATGGTAGACTTTTGCTTAACTGATCTTTGTATTATACACATTTTATCCTAACAAAAATGTGATTGGTCGAAGCAAGACTTTACTCCAACAGGCAAAGATCATTTATTGACAAAGAAGTAATGCTAATCAAAATTGCAATTCGTTTTAGGGGAACCGGAACAGTGTCGTAACATTGCGACGTCTTGTACAACTTGTTCATCTAATATTCAACCAATCATCGAGAGACGCTGTTGCTGTTCGTCGTCGATTGAACGGCCAGTTTGCAAGAAACCGATCATCAGGTGTCGTCAGTCGTGCGAGCCTCAAGGAGGTGGATGTTGCGGAGGCGGATGTCGCGGTGGTTGCGGAAAACCTGGACAAACGTGTTTACCTGCGAAACCTTGCGTGGTACCATCTTGCCGACCGTGTTCACCATGTTCTTCACCACGGTCGTGTCCTCCACAAGTAATTTGTTATTGCGGTCGAAAATGTGGAAATTGTTGTGGAAGTGGCGGTGGCACGTGTTGCTGCCGGTAAGAGTATTTTGATATTACTGCCTTGTATTAATTTATGGTATTTAGGTATTTATTGATGTATTAATTTATGATAATTTATAGCTAATTATAGTTTTTCTTTTCTTTATGTATGAAGGTCGAAAAACCCAGGGTGTCGAGTAAGAACCAGAAGATGTTGCAGTACCGACAGAGCAAATCCCATCGACCAAGGATGTTGCCGACCGAAAACAGCTTGCGAATGTTTCGGCGGAGGTCTTGATTGTCAGCGCTGTGGACGAAAAGTGTATCAGGCAGAAATGCAGGTAATTTCGAATAATTAATAGCTTTTTTTCGTTTGATAAAACACAATTAAAACACGTTGTTCGATGCCGGTTCAAGATTGTGTCCGGTACGCCATTTCATAATACTTGCTTCAGCTGCTATTGCTGTAGGAAACCATTGGAACCGTTAACGTATCAGGAAAATTGCGGGGAAATTTATTGTAAACGTTAGTTAAATCAAACTTTGTAGTCTTGCTCGTTCTTTCTTACGGTTATATTAGTTGGCGAAGTAATCGACTTTTATATTTTATATCGCTATTTAGAATGTTACGTTCGAAATTTCGGACCTCAAGGATATGGGTATGGCGTGGGACCAGGTACATTACAGACTCCTATGTAAAGTTATTGCACAAGATTAATAAATCTTCTATCAAATTTAGCTTGTATAACTTATAAGTCACTTGATAGTTTATAAAGGTTAGTTTATAGGTTGTAAAGAGAGTTTCTTATGATTTGTTAAAAGATAATTTTTAACTTTACTTCCCTAATATTTGATCAAATTACAAGTCAGGAAGGATCGCCACGTTGATACAAAATTTCGAAGAGTACCAGGAATTTGTAACGCCAATAAAAAGACTGAAACTAATATTTTATAAGAAGAATGTGAAGATTCCAACTAGAAAAAAAGAAGAAGGGAAAAGAAGGCTAATCGTAACACTTGTACTTGTAACGTTGATGTCCGCCGATAAAGAACAAAAGGCGTTGGGAAGGAAGCACGAATAATATATCTCAGGACTCCGTGCAGCTATTTCAAGAATAATGCCAGTGTATTCACGAATTCGCGAACGGATGAAGCAGGATAAGGAGAATGGTTATTTCTTTGCGGGAAATAAAAGCACGCAAAGAAAGGAAGATCGCACACTTTGCAAAACGGAGAAGGAAAAGAAATAAGACGATTTAACGGGTAGTTTTATTGGTAAAAATAAAGGCGGAAGGAGAGGAAGGAACAAAGTTGGATTTCCGTGAAAACACAGCGAACGAAGCGAGAGCAAAGGTATGAGGGAGAAAGAGCGAAAGGGGAAAAGAGAATGGAAAAGAGAAAAAGATGAAGGAAGAAAGAGTGAGTGGTTGGTTTATTGAGTCTCTCCTCTTAGTGGATTGCGGAACGCGGAACGTACGCGGCACTGCTGGCTAGAGGGGCGTTTATATAGCTTTCAAGCGCAGGAGCTTAATCTAATTTCAAATATAAATCTGTTCTCCCTCCCCGTTTTCCTTCTCTTTCTCTTTCCGCCTTCGTTTCCTTCCTTCGACCGGCCTCCCCCCATCCATATAGCAGCGTGCTTGCTCGCCGGCTTATATTATCCAGCTGGCTACGAATAATCTCTTTCGCTCTACCTATTAACGTTACGAGACACGCCGATTTACTTGACTTTGGCGAATTATTAGTCGAAAAGTGGAACACGCCTCGTCTGCCGCGATAAGCACGTACGCAGTTTATTGAAATTATTTAATTTCATTCAATACACGTTTAACAGAACTTAATAGACGTACTAACGTGCATGAAATTGGCATGCTCTAAGTTTTTCGTATTTTCACGCATTTCAAGTTTCTTAATGTTTTAGGTACGCGTGAATGTTTAAATTTTGATTTCACCGTATTTAAAAATGAATTTTTATGTAAAGACAATGAAAGTAATTAGAAAATAATGAACAATGAAAAAGCGACAGATTAAGTTGCTTACAAACGTTGTTTGTGTATAATAGAAAAAAATCACGGTATTCTTCGTACAAAAATTTGGAAAGAAGCGTGGAATGGAACAACGAGCCAAGTATTTTCGCATTGTAAAGGAAAATTCGCCTAAGGCAGAAATTTTTTGATACACGATGCAGTAACGTGGATGCACCTGTGGTCAGGAAATCGAGAAAATATCTCCTCGGTTCGGCGATCGGTTCGCTCAATCTTTTGCGCGCGCCGCTTACTCCGAACGGTATGAAAATCAATTATTTCGTTAATTCGTGCGTTACATTGGCTGTCACGGAACCATCACTGTGAACGACAGCGGCCCAAGGCACTATTTTTCAATTCCCAATGTCGCCCTACCTTTTCGAACGTATTTCCGTCTGATACGTCCGCGTCATTTTACGGCCTTATCTCTCTGGCCGAGTTAAGTAGTATGTTTTATGTTGCACGAGCCAATATTAGATAGACATCAGATAGACAATCAATTACGATGAAATCGTCCGATAAATGTATTTAACTACTAAAAGTAAAAAATACTTTTAATACATTGTTCTGATTGGGTTGATTGGGTTCGTTAAATTTTAAAAATAGAAGATCACATTTAATAAATTTAACACAAGCTGTAATAAAGGTGCATTAATATACATTTCAGCGGTTATTACTTAAATTTATTCATCGTATTTGTAATTTTAAATGTACCACGCAAGTAGGTCTTCGAGAGGCAGGACTATTCGATCGGATGATATTTTAATTAAATCCATTTGCAAAATGTCTGGAACAAAATTCGCGAATTTTGTAAATTCGAAATTTCTATAGTCTACGTTTAGTTATTGATATCTGGATGTATCTAGCGAATTTCGAGAGGAACACGGGAGAATGAACGCGACAATCGAGGGTAGTATCCCATGACGTGGATGTCACGTGAAATTCTGCTACGTTAAAATTAATATCTCCCATTTGTCAATGGCCGATACGTTTTCGTTGTACAATGAAAACTGGCTAAAAAGGGGAGCGTACACAAATGTTAGACCCCAAAATGTTCCCTAAACATTGTCACAACACGGCTAGGTAACTGGGAAGAGTATTCATCGAAGTCACATTAAAATGAATCGTACTTGTAACGTGTTATAAATTGGTTATTTTAACGGGAAGCAAGCAGGTAGAAATAGTCCATTGAACTTTCTAACCAACGATAAATATCCAATTATTAATTCTGGCGAAAATAATAATTGAATGGGAACGCGATAATTTGAATTCTAAATCTGTGTGTCTGTCTTTGAAAAGATTCTTTAATAAAACCTTTTGTTCGTTGCAACGAATAAAAATCATAATAGAATGTTTTAAGTTTCATTGACGCGGAAAATGAATAATTGCTTGCAGACCACGGAGGGTAACAGTGATTTTATCCTGCGTGTCTAATTGGTGGACATGTGGACGCGACCGTGAAGAATCTCCCGCACGCGTTTCAAATGGATCGCAGTTTATTCAGTATTCTGATTTAGAAAGGGTTCTCCAAAACTGCACTGCCATTCACGTAAGTGTTTCAGTTCTTATAGTTGATAATCGCTCATAAATACTAGATCTAGTGTACTGCCAGATCGTAGCTCTACCATTTATCTATCATTATCAGAAACTTTGTATCGAGACGGATATCATAATTTCCTCGTTTTGTTCAATGGTTTTAACAAAAGACGAGAATCAGAGCAATGTTCATGTAGTACGCAAAATGTACGTCGATGCACGGAGACAAGAAATTTTATTAAATGTATATATATAAGTACATGCATATATATATATATATATATATATATATATATATATTTTTTTTTATAACAATTAAAATACTATAGTCGATTTAAAGTTGAAAAAAAAAGGAAAGAACGTGCTAATAAGTTAACAAATCTGTACGAATTTTACCTACACAGGTTGTGTTTGCTGTTCCTGCTCGCCATTCTTTCGTTCAGGAATAAATAAAAGTGATTTCATCGCAGAAGCGGAGCCAAATTGGACAGCACACAGGTATTTAAGAAACAAGTCGGTATCACGAGACACGGGACGAGTAATGAAAACATTAAGAATAACAACGATAGATTTCGGGCAGGGGCTTTTTGCTATGGGCGAACGTTATAGCCGGTCGCGTGTGTGTGTGTGTAGCGTACACATTTAATTTGCATCGTATAAATCGTGTTTCCGGTCGAGCACGCAATGCAAACACGCGTTACGTTTACGCCCTCGGTCCCTCACCGCATTTTCGATCCACCATTCGGGAGGAACAGAGAGAAAAGGAACGCCGTAGAGACGCGCGGGCTTTTGCACGCTGCCACGTATTGTAACCCCGGTAATTTATGATTCGATAAATAAATCAGCCACGTTTTATCCGTCCTCTTTCTCTCATTCTCTGTGTTTCTCTCTCTCTCTCTCTCTTTCTCTTTTTCAATCCCTGGCGTTCGATTTCCGCGCACACACTTGTAAGATGATTTTGGGGGTTACGCCCAGTTTACCATTCGCGGACTTTCCTGGGAGAAATCACCCCTTTTTTTTTCCCCTCCACGTTCGTACCTGGAACACCTCGTCTCGATTGTGTTGTACCCGACGAGATTGTTGTAGATCGATGGCAAAGTTGTCGCAGTTCGAGGTTCAACTTCGCTTGTGACTTTCCATGATTTCCAACGATTTATGGTATCGTTCGGTAGTTTCTGGCAGTTTCATAGATTCATTGTCACTCCGATATTTCAGCGACAGATAATTTGCAAAATGAAACACGAAGGCGAATTGTTGAAGGGACTTGATAACTCGCTGATAAGTTACGACAAGTCACAGGATCGATTTTCAAGTTTCAGCGATTCATTCGCGACGAACTTATTCGGTATTTCTAATGTACAAATTCATGCTGAACTGGGGAATAGTTGTTGTTAAACGAGCTGCTCTTATGTTTCATGATTGTCTATCGCTCGCCGATCATGAATATTCATACCATTATACATTTGTTTATCGCTTCAAGCGTCAGTGCACCGCGATACATGCAAATGGTAACAAAACACATTCATTTTATAGTCATCGATACGCGCCGCGAACGTTTCTTTGAAAAATGTTTCCTGCTCGTGTTTCCCGCACTGATGTCGAATCAAAGACGCTCGTACGTTTGATGGCTTTGAATTTTATTAACATGTTAGAGATGCGTAATTAATTGATCAGCTAGAATATCGTTCGTATGGCTGTACGTACGCGCGGGCAATTGCGGGGAAGAAACGATCAAAGGTGCGCCCCTCGCGGATTCCTCTCAGATGAGAACGCTTAATCTCCATTCACTGAAAATTTACTCGACAACGGATGTTCATTTCCAAAGAGACATTTACTGAATTGACTTTGGCAATTAATATACACGTTGGACCTATTAATAGACCAAAGTAACCGACTTATCGTTTCCTTGGTATATTTCTTGATTGGATGAGTAAACGACACTTTTAACGTTTGAAACGAATGGTTCTTGTTTTTTTTTTTTTTTTTTTTAAATTAACACGCGTAGACATAAATTGTGTTTACTTTACGTCTGGATCTTTATGGATATCCAAAAGATATCTAAAATATGTCAGCAAGTTAGTTTTAAAAGTTTGCTTCATCGCCGATGTTTTGTTGTTAGAACGATTTAATTTAATTGAAATCAAGGTTTATGTACTTAACTTTCCACGGTCTCTAAACGCACCGC